ATCCCGACACATCAAAAACCCACACGAAAACAAAATCACTATTTTAACTAATTAGGTATCTTTTCATAATCCTATTCGTTTTAAGAAAAAGTTGTGATCTTTGTATACCGAAAATTATTGTTCCAAGTATCTATCTAGCGAATTGAGAATAACAGCTTTAGGCTATTAACGTTGATCTATTTTTGTAATTTATTTTAGACCAGTGTATACAGGAACACTGGCACATTTCCATTATGCTAATCGCTTAACTAACAAGTAACTGCAATAATTTTTATTTTATTTTTTGAAAAAAAAAAGCAATAAAAATTAATAAAATAGTGATGGTTATATGTTGACGATACTATCCATTCACGTGCAGAGGTTGGAGAAATAATCTTCCATCACAAACCATTTTGTTTAAATGACAACTTAATTTTTGTAAACACAATCTGTACCCAAGCGTCTTAGCAATGATTAATCTTGTTTTGAGCGATAATGACTATTATTAATCAACTATTGCTTCATACTATTCAATACCCTTGTTCTTTTTTAAATCGACTAACTTACAATGTTCAAATACTGAGTACTTCATGTTCAAGATTATATGAAAACATAATCCATTATTTATTTACTGTTGTGGGAAGCTTGTTATTGTATTAACTATTGTTTTCTAAAGTCTGATGTTTGTTTACGACAATGTGACATTCTATTAAACATCAATTGTTCATGAATAACTCTCATACTGCATGTAATGTATTAAAAGTGATTCGGGTATCTACGCATGTAATCAATAGCCCAGCGAAAATTTGTTGCCGAAATATTTCATCAATATGTGTATGTATGCAGAGGCGTAACGATGGGGGGGGGGGGGCAGGGGGGGGGACATATGTCCCCGGGCGCCGACCTTAGGGGGCGCAAAAATGGGTTGTAAAAACAAATTAAAATGTCATTTTAGCTGCTTTTTTGCAGTTTGAGGGGGGGGGGGGTGGGCGGTGCAAATCGAAAGTTTGAGGGTGGGGGTGCAAATTGAAAATTTGCTCCCGAGGGGCGCCAAATTGAAAGTTTGTCCCCGGGCACCGGGAAGGGTCGCTACGCCTCTGCATGTATGTAGGGATGATAGGGGCAACAGACACCTCTACTGACTGTATTAAGTGAATGTCTGAAGCCTAATCTACAGCGATATCAAACCGACATTGTTACTTCATCTCTGCCAGCTGATGGAATAGTGTTATCAAAACATGCTATAAAATTTCACAACACTCACTGTAACATTAGTTTGATGGCCTACAATTTTAATACTAGAAAAGAGAGTAGTTTTATCTAAAGGTGCTATGAAATTTCACAACATAACCCCACCGTAACATCACTTTAAGGGCCTACAACTTCTGTGCCAGCAATGTGAATATTTTTTATCAAAATGTATTATCAAATGCAGCTGATTGCAACATTTTTATAATTTTAAAATATAATTTATACTTTTTACTTTCTCGTATATACGTAGTATAGAGAAAGTATTGTAATCGTGCAAAAAAAAAAAATCGAGATTTTTACAAATCTCGACGTTTTACACCTCACTGATACGGAAAAACATAATTTTGCAATCTTGTCCGTATGTCTGTGTGTGTGTGTGTCTGTGTGTCTGTCCGTGTGTAAACACGATAACTTGAGTACCGTTAGAGCTAGAATGATGAAATTTCATATTTAAGTATTTTATCAAAATCGTAGATCCGTATCAACTTTTGAGCGATTTCCGATAACCGGAAGTGGTACTTTTCCTACTTTGAATTTTCCAAAAGCCTATAACTTGAGTACTATTTCAGATAGATAAATGAAATTTCACATGTAAGTAAAAGATCTAATTCTCTACCTTCTGTTAAATTTTGAATAATTTCCGTTGACTGGAAGTTGTAATTTACGCTACTTCCGATTTCTCAAAAAACTAATGTAAATTTATTAAGTACTAATACTATTGCGCACTATTATACACACCTTTATTAGGCGTTCGCTTGGTGCGCAATTGTTTTTTACTGAGATTCTATTCTATTTTTAAAAGTTTAAGTATTTAAAATGGATTAAAAATCATAACTATATCCCCAGTTACCATCCACTGTTGTTTTATATAAGAATATTCGAGAAAGTTTAGGGGAGATCACTACCGGTTTATTTTTCCTACATGAGCACGCTAGTAGTTGTGTAATTTCAGGGGAGGTTACTTGACCCACTTACTATACACCATGCTCACTACCCTTTGTAACACACTAGACAAACACACTGTATAAGGTTAACACAGCTGCAATATATTAACACAACACACGGGCGTATACCACTGCTAACTTGCTGTTACTGGTTGTGCTATATTTGGTTTGGTGCTTAGTTTAAGTTTACAAAGAATTTTTTCCATCCTTTTGTGTAATCGTTTAGCGATAGTCTCACCATTTGCTTACAATTTCACCATTCAGTAATCCAATCATCATTTGATTGTATTTTCACCTTTAGATATCGTATCACTAATACGTATCGTATCATTATTTTGTTATCGTGTAACTATTCAGTTATAATATTATTTTGTCATTCAATTAAACTTTAGCTACCGTGTCACCATTTATCTATCTAATAACCATTTGGATATCGCATCACTACTAGTATCAGTATTTATTCATCATATCACCATTTAGATATGGTATCACCACTCGTTATCATATCATCACCACAGGGTCATCGTATCACCATTTAGATGCGGTATCACCACTCTTTATCATACCATCACCACAGGTCATCGTATCACCATTTAGATGCGGTATCACCACTCTTTATCATATCATCACCACAGGGTCATCGTATCACCATTTAGATGCGGTATCACCACTCTTTATCATATCATCACCACAGGGTCATCGTATCACCATTTAGATGCGGTATCACCACTCTTTATCATATCATCACCACAGGGTCATCGTATCACCATTTAGATATGATATCACCACCCTTTATCATATGACCATCACAGATCACCAATCTTGTCACCACCCAGACATCGTATCACCACGGAAGTATTGTATCACCATCCATCTAAAGCGTCCCAACGTTTACTCTGAGAAAGTGTAAATGTTACTGGGGGACACGCCAAAGGTTTGATGAAAACCGAGCCTAAGGGAGGTTGACCCCTGACCTTCCTCTTGTAACGAGCGAAGAAAATCAGAGTGCAGTTATTTTGGCAGCGGCTTTCATCAAACGTCGAGTCTAGAACCCGGGGAGGGGGGGGGGGGTGAAGATAGGGAATCGGTACGTTCTGATTCAACACCTGGGGTAAGAGAAAGAGGGGTGTGGGGGAAGGGTAAATGTGGGGCTGAAGATTGATGTGCACGTGAGGAGGTGGGGCGGGTGAGGGTGGGGTGGAGAGAATTCTTTAGACATTTGGATGTGCAGATGATTTGCATTGTGCTGTCGTTAAGGAAGCGAAAGTCAGCGTATTAATGCACTGTTGTTTGTTCTGTCGTTAAGAAAGCGAAAGTCAGCGTATTGATGCACTGTTTTTTTGTTCTGTCGTTAAGGAAGTGAAAGTCAGCGTATTAATGCACTGTTGTTTGTTCTGTCGTTAAGGAAGCGAAAGTCAGCGTATTAATACACTGTTATTTGTACTACCCTAAGGGAGAATGAGTCAACGTACTATAAACAGATGTTTTTCAGAGTCAGTAAACGTGGGAAAACCTAGGTTAAATATGATCGATGGCGTTGTTAGCATTACGCATATTATGATCAGAAACTGCGCCAACTTTATAGTCAAACTCATAGTATTAAAAGTTGACTGCTAATTGAAAGGCTAAGCCATTTGCAAAATAACGTGTTTTAGTTAATAACTCGTTACATTATTAAAATTTGGCTGGATGATAATACAATGCTGATTTTAATTACACATTGAACTAAAACTATTCAAATATTTGACATCGACGGTAAGAAAAACAGCATGGTTAGCTAGTATAATTCTTCAAGTCTCTTTTTACACCACAAAAGTGTTTTTGATAAAACGAAATTTCAGATCTCGGAATAATCTGAATAAAGAATGTCATATGTGTAACAATTTTAGACAATTACTACTTTGTTTACCTGTTTGTATGCTTATGAGTTTGTCATACGATAGACGCTTTTTTTATAATAACTGCGAGTTTAAAATGGCTGCCCCCTCTATGTCGCTGATGTAAAGCAACGAAGGGGTGGCCAGACTACATGTCACACCCCCTAGCGACGCCACTGATAGTACGGAATGTGCTTTATATTCTGCCAGTTATCTGAGTGTCCAGATTACAGATATTTCATGCACTTGCATCAACATTCAACACATGAAAAAGTGATATAAATTTCAGGATAAAGCCTAATCGTGTCTGACTGTGATCGTAGCTTGATTTATGAATTTAGGATCGGGTGGGCGGTTGAAACGATTCCCTATGTGGGGTTAGGGCAAGGTGTAGATGCAAATATTTAAAAAAATATCAGAGCAAATATAGAAGAAATAAACACATCTTGATAGATTGTATAAGCAAAGATCCAGAGATAAATGTATAAGCTATTATAGAAGCAATAAAGACAAATAAGAAACATATGGAACATACGCACGACAGTAAAAAATTCAAATTAAAATAACAAATGTGGGGAAAACTTAAAGCACTCTAAATAAAAGAAGCGGCGATCGTCTGCAAATTAAGACACAGAGGGATAGCGAGGGCGGGCGGGGGGTGCGGACCGCACCGGGTGACACCATTTGGGGGTTGACACCAACACCAATGCAAACAATTGCAAAATGTTCAGAGGAAAAATGCCTTTTGGCCAGTTCCTATTAACAGACCATAGATAAACATCGTTACTATTAAGTCTGCAGTGATTAAAGCTTATTAGCATACATGTACGCATATTTGGCATATATTTAAATTATAGGGGGGTGACATCACGGGTGACACCCAACCTAGCGACGCCACTGTGAAGACACCAAAGAAAATGCAAAAGGAAACTAAAACAACTGGACTTACGTGTCGGCCATACTACTTCTAGCGGGTCCTCCGGATATTTTGAAACGGTTGTGTGTAACGTCTGCTAGCTGTGGTGATCAGCGCTTGTCTGCCTGTCTCATTAACTAAATGGTCCCTATATCCAACACGTGATATCTGCTATATTCCTGAATGGCGTTGAGAAAATTAATTTTATTCCAATTCGTCCGTTAGATCTTGACTACCGTTTCTGTAAAAGTAAATGAAAAAAGATTCAACTAAGTTTTGTTTACAGACTTTATAACGAAATATTTTATTTACACAAACAAATATTATTTTATTATTTAGTAATTACTTTGGAATAAAGAGTAAGTTTTCTTTTTTTAAAATAATTCAAAAGACTTGATTTTAAAAAAAATCACACTTTGATTAAGCATTCGGCATTGCATGAAAAGAAAATCACAATTTGAATTTTTAAACTGCTTTTAAAATGCACATAGTCTGATAAAAAATGTTTTGTTTATAAAATATAAATACGGTGAAGTTTTCTAAATATTTACGTTGATTAAAAAATACCTTATGATTGCTAACGATGTAGACTATATTTTGCTTAGAAAGCTTTTTTCACACAGAGCTATTGCTCATAAACATTTTTTTTTTACACTAGCAAGCAAAATCTGAGTAAAATCACCTACCTGGCGTGCTCGTTGTGGCTGAATTTGGCGGAGAGGGAGAGAAAAATCTGGCAAGTTGTGGCGTCACGTTCTACTTTACGACACGCTCTTGCCAGTGTGCCCGGCACTTTTAAGTTAGGGTGGATTCAGATTCAAGGGAGCGGTCCCAAAATAAGAAAAAACTGAGGGCTGTTTAACTATGATTTTACACTAATTAATTTTAGTTAATCAAAAAGAATATTGTTAAATCCTAATTTGGTTTTTATTTGATTGGGGTGAAATTTTCTATAAATAATTTAACCTACACTAATCTTTCCACGTCCAAAGCCTGGAGATATAGTTTTGTTCAGCTCTGTGAGTGGATGTTAATCACTTTATGATAACCATGATCCGTGTACCTCCTGACTGTAGTAGTGGGTCGTTGTGTCAAACTTACGAGAAAAAAATTTCTTCACATTTGTTCTATAATGTAACACATTCATAACACAATAAGAAAAAAATTTTATATTTTATATGCTGGAAAATTAAAAATCTCCGGCAATGAGGCTTTCATGGGAAAAAGGTACAATCAAAATTATAAGGAGACCTGCTCATTTTTTCTCCAAGGGGAACTTGAATTCTCAACACAACCCCCTGTTTTACCCCATAAATCACAATAACATTTTATATGTACAGGCTTTGGTTAAGACAATTCGGAGAATATGACCAGGTTATACGTATTATAGGGTTATAGATTACCATAATCTACATAATCTTAACGCGAGTCTAGTCAGTATTAAAGTAGCTTGTCAGTGTCCGTAGTTTGACTAGCGAATACGTTGTACAAAATAGTTTTCTTTTTTTAAACCCATCATAAATCTAACACCCAGATAAGCTTACATTCTAAGCACCTTGAACTATAAACGTGATGTGGTGTTGTGTGTGGGGAGGGGTGAGTAAAATGTAATTTTATTAGACCTCTCAGTAAAGACCAGAGGTACTCAAACTCTCTCACAAATCTCACTCATTCCCAGTGCCAACTCTTTTATCTCCACGAGCGAGTAATGAAAATAAGAAGCCGCCTTTAATCGTTTTAAATCTGGGCCAAAATTGAGGCTTCGTTTTCCTCTAGCTTTTAACTTTACAGATTAAACATTTCCTTCTCTCTCCTTCTCTCCATCCTCTCCCCCATCCCCCCTCCCTTCGTGCTCTGAGTCTACCTGTCTTGCTCACTCAGCGTCTGAATCCAGGTGTGTAGCAAACAACAATACATTCCATGTATCTGCCAACGAAACCCCCACGCCCAGGGCGTATCACGTGACTGCGCTAGAAACATTCCTCCCTGTCGGAGAGTTACAACACAACGAGCGATAGTCAGGCTATTTTGGCGCCACTGCTGTTCGCTATCCTCAAGGTCCATGTTTATCACAATTTTTCTTGCGTTTATTTTTTATGTTGTGGACGCAAATAAACAAATTTACCGTGGCCGTTTTCACTCGTAGAAAACACTTCACAAATTCTATATTTTCGGCTAATCTGGCTGAATTTCTGTCAATTTTTTTTCTCGATTTCTTCAATTTCTAAAAACAACACGTCTGCAATCATAAAATTTAAAGAATACACAATTAGGCCACACATAGATTGCCAAGACGACGTCATCCGGTTTATGTTAGTTTTGATGATGTATGACGTAGGCGCATTAAGGGTTTGTTGCTATTACAATTGTTGACATTAAATTTCAGACGGCTTAAAAATAATCAAACTCCCATACATTATTCGCTTTTAGTAGAGGGGGGTGGGGAGGAATTTCTTTTCCTTCTACAAGAGAATAATTTTAAAATGTTTTTTACATGTAAATATTAGTATAACCTATCTCTAAGATTTTTAGTAAAAAAAAATATAAATCTAATCATTTTTCGTGTGCTTATGAAAACTATTTGCATTCACAAGTGGGATTTTACACGGTACGAAGGTTATGATTGATGGGAAAGGGTCGTCCATGTTATACAATTTTGCCGGACCCCCCCCCCCCCCCCAAACTCAGCACGCACATAGAGTAGGCTTACATATATCCAAATCGTCACAGCATACAAAACGACGTCAAAAATATTAAAACCATTTAAAAAACACAGTTCATCGATGATCAACAAATTTCGCATATTTGTTTAAGTTTCGAAACACAAAAATCGCCTCCTAATACATTTCATGTAATTACATAATTTAAAAAATACATTGTAAGGATAAAAGAACAGTGAGAGATTATAATATCACTATGCAGTATAAGAAAAAGATGTGTTAAAGCTATGATGGCTAAATAACATACAAAGGATAATTTAATAAACGTTTCTTTTAAATCTAACAATGTTTTGTTTATTTTGATAAGATCGTATTAATAAAGATGACAGTACCTCAAATAGTAATCCTGATATTGCGACTGTTTTCCTTTTTTAAGCGCAGCTGCTTCATTATTTCTCTGTTCAAACTTCCTGGAAATGGAAATCGAATTGCAACCCGCACGATCTGAAACTAATTAAATTCACATTTTAGAAGGCACGTATTTGTTCACCCATAGCTTAAAGCTGTAGAATAATCAATACAAAAAATGCTTCCAATTTTCGGAAATTGGGGGTTAGGAGAGGGGGGAGAGGGGGAGGGGACCTTAGTGTTTTTTTTTGTTTTCTTTGACCGATTTAACCGAATTAAATCAAACCGCGACTGCGGTTAAATAATCAGTTAAATATTTATAGGATTAGATTAATTTATGGACTGCGTATTGTCTTTAAATGAGATTACTATTTTTTTGTCTATCCTCCGCCCCCTGTCATTGCTATATATCGTACCACCTAAATAGAACACCCCCGCTCCCACCATTTTCAGTAGTTCTGTACTTATATGACTTTTCATTTCTATAACCAATACTGAGCTGTAGGACGATCTAGTCAATATAAAATTTTAAACAATTACCTTACAAAAGATTATCTTTAAAAATTGTTTTTCTTTTGAAAGCCAAATATGTGACGTCACACTTTAACCCCCCCCCCCCCCCCCCCCCCCCCCCCCCCGGAAATCTTGAGTTCGAATCCTGAGTCCACATAGTTTTAACTCACATCAGGGGAAATAATGAAAGCAGAACTTAATACAGACCACATTCCTTCAACGTCGAAGTCAAGAAACACACGAACTCGACTTTATCTGCTCAATGGATCGCTAGAACTACAGAGGAAGCGAAGTTTACGTACTGCATGTCAATATCAGTAGCGTTTTAAACAATTGCTCCATGGCTCCAAGTTTTTTTTACTTTCTCGTATATACGAAGTATAGAGAAAGTATTGTAATCGTGCACAAAAATCACTTGAAATTTTAACTATTTTCACCGTATTACACCTCAGTCCTTCATCACATCCGAAGTATAGAGGACTTATTTTAATCGGGCAAAAATTATCAATCCAGATTTATCAAAATTAAAAGGTTTTATGCGTATTCCAGTCTGAAAAACTGGGCTTTGCAATTCTGTCCGTATGTCTGTGTGTCTGTGTGTGTGTGTGTCCGTGTGTAAACACGATAACTTGAGTACCGTTACAGCTAGGTTGATGAAATTTCATATATAAGTATTTTATCAAAATCGTAGATCCGTATCAACTTTTGAGCGATTTCGGATAACCGGAAGTGGTACTTTTTCTACTTTGAATTTTTCAAAAGCCTATAACTTGAGTACTATTTCAGATAGATAAATAAAATTTGATATGTAAGTAAAAGATCTAATTCTCTACCTTCTGTCAAATTTTGAGAATTTTTCGTTGACCGGAAGTACTTATTTACGCTACTTCCGATTTCTCAAAAAACTAATGTAAATTTTAAAAGTACTAATAATATTGCGCACTATTATGCGCTTTTTTATTCGCGTTCACTTGGTGTGCAATTAATTTGTCTACGAGATTTTATTCTATTTTTAAAACTTTAAGTATTTAAAATGGATTAAAAATCATGTCTATAGCCCGAGTTCCCATCCCCTGTTATTTTATATAAGAATATTCGAGAAAGTTTAGGGGAGATCACTCCCGGTTTATTTATTAAGTGACCAAAAAACATGATAAAACGATAATTAATTAAGCATTGATTATCACGATGATCAGCGTGGAATGTTAATTCAATGTCAAGGTCATGACCTCATTCCCTCAAATGTGGGGCCTTCGTGGGATTTTTGTATGACGGGCAATTAATTAATTAATTAATGGTTTAATAATGTAATGTAGTGAAAACTCACGCACCATTTTCTTCCCCTTGAAGCGTCGACGCAATTTTTTTAATGTCGGGATTTAACATTTTTACAACAAATTTAAACATGGCTGAACTGTAGTTCGCCGCTGTTCCTAGACCGCTTCTTGTTCATTAGCGTAGCGAGGGGGGGGGGGGGGGACATATGTCCCCGGGCGCCGACCTTAGGGGGCGCCGAAATGGGTTGGAAAAATAAATTGAAAGGTTGAGGGGGGTGCAAATTGAAATTATGAGGGGGGGGGGGGGGTGCAAATCGAAATCTTGAGGGGGGGGGGCGGTGGAATGCAAATCGGAATCTCGAGGGGGGGGGGGGGTCGTAGCAATACCTAAATCCCTAATTAATAAAACATTAAATGGGACGGAGCGGTTAGGTGGTAGAGCGCTTGAGTGATAACCAGAAGGTTTTGAGTTTAAATCTCGATCGGAACTCGATATGGCAGGACTTATTGAGTCCACACAGATCTGACGAGTATCTGTTTCAAGTCAGGGAAAGTAAGGGCAGCGGGGGATAGTACAGACCATGCCGTCCCTTCATTATCTGAGGTCAAGAATAATATGAATTCTACTTCATCCATTAATGAATCATTGGGTCTGAAAAAGGAGTTTAACTTTTTGAAATAAAGACAAAGATACAACAAAGGGGTCGGCGTGGTCGAGTCGGTACAAGTCGGAGAAGTCCCTAGTTCGAACCCTCAGGCAGATGAGGCTCGTTAGCTGGGGACAGCCACTCTTCTAGGAGAAACAACTCCAAAATCAAACAACTGCTGCCTTGTAGTTTGTTCTTGGTTGGACAAAGGCTGTGGAAGCTAATCCAAAAAGAAAAGCAGGCTGAAATTGGAGTCAATGTCCTCAATGGCGCATGACACGTATGCTGGAGGGAATCTCTTCCAACACTAAAATTAAGCACGCAGAAGAAGAAGATACAATATATCTATCCTAGGACTGCACTTTCAGATATTACCAACTCTCACCCACCCCCTCAGTGGTATTACCCATTTAAGTTCAAAGGTCATCAAGTGTAACTGGAGGCCCGGTGACGCTCTCGTGTGTTATTGCGAGAGGTGGTATTTATTTGGTTGTTTACGTACACATTTCTGAATGTCAATACTACCCGGTGGATTGGATTCAAGGCTCTGATGTTCCGCAGGGGCCGTGCACTCCGGGCAAACTATGGCTCCGGAAGTTCCAGAAGGAAACTTAATGGTGGGTGATGTTGATACGTGTCGTGTGCGTCACTTAGCCAAAGATACGAATGTAAGAATGTAGGGAGTGGAAAGAATGTTAACGTGTTGTATTGATTAGCTGTAACTGTGTTCGTTTATACTGAACTGTTGATATTTTCAAGCTTTAGGTAACCAGTGTCCGCCCCCTCCCCCGAAAGTTAAGTCAGACCCCCCCCCCACCCCCGATAGGATCAAGTGCACCCTCTACTAGAGAAAAATGACTGAAATAACACGGTATAACTAGCTAAAAATTATTTAAAAGTCGCCAAAAAAAAATACACTTTACATTTTTAGATGTTTTCGTTTCAAAATAAACTAGATCAAATGAAATGCCTTCTAGTATCTATATGTTAGTTTTCTATCACTTAATCTATGACGCTTGATCTAATTTATGAAAAATAATATGTAAAGGGGGAGGGGCATTTGAAACTTGCGACGGAGAGGTGGAGGACAATGTTTTAAAAATATTGTTTCTACATGAAAATAATTGGTTTTTATTTTGCCCCCGGGGAGGGTGCCTGGACTTTATTCGGGAAGGGGTGGGGGGATACCCCCAATTTAGAAAGACTCCTGAAGAAATCACTGGTTACAAAGTTTGCTCGATGTGGCTACAATGGTACTAGCGATACTAAAGTTCAGACAAATGGTGGTACCGGTTTGTAGCTTGTAGCTGCGGTTACAAGGGTACTAGCGATACAAAAGTTCAGACAAACACATTTAAAGTCTATGCAGGCAGATGGAGTTCATCTGTGTTCATCTGTGTCTGACACCTGCAATATAAAGAAACACCTTAGTCATCACCAAACATGTCTGTGTAATGGTGTCCATTAGAGCTGTTGAGCGGGCTGGGAACGGTGGGGAGTGGGGGGGGGGGGGGGTAAATCGTGCGCTCCACCACTTAATCACTACACGGTCCAACTATATGGGTTCGTTCAAGAAGCTTCACAAGTGACCATCGTGAGTGCAGGAAGGCTAGAAGCAGTGGCGTCACTAGGTGGAGTGACGCCCCTTACGTTAACTAAGGATGTCGCCACAACTCATACATAGGAATGCATATGTATATGTGTATGTGTATATATACATATATATATATATATATATATATATATATATATATATATATATATATATATATATATATATATATATCAGCATGTATATGATCTCGTAAACAACAGTAATTGGAGGTCAATCGAAAGGAACAAGCAATATTTACCCACCGAAACAGGCATTATTTCATCATTATTCTGTCACCATCTCGGTTGGTGACACCCGGTACTGTCCGCCCCCCCCCCCCCGCCCTCCCTTCTTTTCTCGTATCCGCAATTAAACACAACAGACCATTAGTATAAAGTACAATCAACTACAAAGCTGATATATCTATAGGTTTAGAGAATATGTGTTTGAGTTGATTAGAAGATAGAAGCAAAAAGCCATTCATTGAAGGAAAAAAAATGTTCAACTCACCTACGTTATCAAGGTCGAGGTCGTGAACCAGTTTGAGGGTTCAATGACATTAAGGTCCCGTAACAATGAACTGTCTCCGGGGACTCCAGGATATCTGCTACAACTTTTCTTCTGCTTCCTAGTTGTCCCCCTTTGCTGAAGCAGATCATCGGCCTTTGGTCTCTCTGTTGTCAGTTAATTCATTACATTCTAATTTTGTTTTTGTCTTGTTCGTGTGTCAGAATTAAAGCTGTGGTGAATGGGGTCAATACTGAATGTCGGCGCTGCTTGTACACCTGTTTATTAAATGTAAAACACAATTTATTTTAAATTAAACATGCATTAATTACTATTGTGCTTGAATTTTGAAAATGTCTGAAATAGTCTACTTACTGAGATGTTGATTATTGTCTGAATTTCAGAGTATTTACTGATGTCCTTGACTGAATACCCAATGTTGGCTGATTGCCCAGTGGTAACTCATGCCGGAATATTGACTGATGTCCCAGTGGTGACTGATATCCAAAAGTTGACTGATGTCCCAGTGGTGACTGATATCCAAAAGTTGACTGATGTCCCAGTGGTGACTGATGTGTGAATGTTGATGAATGTCCAAATGTTGACTGGTGTCAAAAAGTTAGCTAATGTCCGAATGTTGACTGACGTCTAAATGTTGACTGGTGTCTGAATGTTGACTGTTGTCCGCTTATAAATTATCCTGACATATTGGCCTTTGTAATTTACCCAGACTAACAATCAACACCTATGCACTGTTGTACATTACCTCATACACCCGAAGTTAGAAACGTTTTGAAGCAATTTGAACCTTTTAAAGCCCAACCTGGTTTTATATGTGTCTTCATGAAGAATTACAATATCTTAATCTTATTACATTTTAAACTAGAAATGACTTTTAATCAGCTTTCATTATAAATTAAGCTGCTTTAATTTGTTTACCACAAATAGATTGGCAGACTACGTTTTGTTGTGTAAAAAACATGCCGCCTCACTAACCATCGAGTTATTATTACATTTTAATCGCAACTGCTGCAACTACCATAGTTTACCAATGTCCATTGAAGTCCTAGGCGTATGCAGTGGGAAAGCCCTGGGATCGGGCGCTCCCCTGATAGTATTCTAGGTAAAGCGACTCCTTTTTCGTAAATTTATTGATTTAAAATGAAAATAACTAGCATTCAAATTCAAGAAACATTGGGCTTTAGTTTTTCATTAATAATAAAGTATTATTTTAGGTTAGTTTAAAGGCTGCATACACCCCTGCTTAAATTATCGACAAAAGCGGATTAGCCTACTGCATGTTGAGAAGAAGCTGCATAACTTATAAGCTACTCTCCTAAGGCGGGTCTACTTTAACCAGGGGCGTAGCGAGGGGGGGGGGGCGGGGGTGCGGACCGCACCGGGTGACACCATGTAGGGGGGTGACACCAAGGCAAAATATAGCAAAATATATAAAGAAAAACTTGAGGGGGGGTGCAAATCGAAAGTTCGAGGGGGAGGGGTGCACATCGAAAACTTGAGGGGGGGTGCAAATCGAAAGTTTGAGGGGGGGGGGGTGCAAATCAAAAATTTGAAAGTTTGTCCCGGGAAGGGTCGCTACGCCTCTGGGGGGTGACACCATTAAGTGCCGCACCGGGTGACACCCGACCTCGCTACGCCACTGACTTTAACAAACCAAAAATTTAACACTTAACAACAAAACTAATTTAAATATCAAATTGAAAGGCTTTATTTATAACTTTCATCACATTTTGCTTCGTTGACTTAAAAAAAAGTAAAATAAATATCGTTATCATGCAATATACTTCAACAGTTCATGAGTATATTAAGATTACATTAAGGAAACTACGTCTATAGGTATGTTGAAAATTATTTAAGGGACTAATTTGATTAGGTTAATATTTTTAAAATTGTATAATTTTGAATATTTACTTATTATTAAATTATAATATTTAACACTCTAAAATAAAAATGGCATGAAAATTTGAAATAAAATGCATCTCACATACACCAAATATAATAAGATAACACAAAGCAGCATTCACTGTTTTTATAATGCACATATTAAAAGTATTGATTGATGTAAAATTAAAATAAACCAGATAGACTTCTCATGTAACTACAACAACTATAAGATTTAAAAGTTTGTTAACAGACCACCATTGGGTCAGGGATCTATGGGAAAATTCAAAACATGTATTTTAATCTGATACTGAAAATATGAATATGGCTATGGGTTGACAATTGTTTAAAATTAAAAAGCCAAGTTCTTTTATATTGTAGGTAGATTATATGTTGTTCACTATTTCCAATTGATATTTATTTCAACTAAAACATTAAATAGTATTTCTATTTCTTGGATGTAAAATCATGAACTTTTAATTTCCAGAAAAATATTTTCATAATTATTTTTTTTGGGATCACTATTATTTTAATACATAATGAACAAGCAAGCATGTTTTTTACTTATTGAGCAGCATCAAGTTCTAGAGCCACATGCTGCCAACAGCTGTGCAGACAAATATAAACAGGAGCTTTGGTAATGGACAATTTGAGCCAAAAAATAAATGTAAGCTTAATAAATAATAAACTCAAGTGCTTTGACTAAGAAAAACTCAGAATACAAGTATAACAGACAATAAATCCAGGTTTTTAGAACTCTGATAAAAGTAAATTAATAAACTCATTGAGATAAATGGTTTATCACACTGTATGCTCTATTTGTATGGTAAGGCATAGTCAAGTATTGTAACACATAACCAGTAACTATAAACAGGTTTATATAGGAAGTTGTAACACCACTCAGCTATAAAGAGTACCTGGCTCAACTAGGGGAAATTTCAAGCTGTTGGGCACAGTACTGACTGCACAAAGAATTCATAAGTTTGGGACACTAAAACAGATGAATTCTACATCAACTACCCTAAGGACCATCAGAAATAGCATTCCTCTTGCATTAATGCTAGGATTTGCTATTGAAAAGTTTACATTTGCATTACACTATAAGCAAAAAGCAGTCACTATAACAAAATAAATAAATAGTTCTTAAAGAGGCTTGACTTTATGATACAAGTCTCAACAAGACTTAGGCTACAAAGATTCTGCAGCTACTATAATAAAGGCATGCCATAAATGCTTTGATCACATAAGATGATAACACAAAATGGATCATGTATTGTTACTAAATAAACATTTGACAAAACTTTTTAAAGACAAAAAAATTTAAAATTGATTTTTCTCTATTTTCAGGAAAAGCACAACCATATCAATTGTTATTGGCTATTATAGTAAACTTGTTAAATGGTATTTGACAAACTAAAAAAATCTGCAAACAATATGGACCTAACATGTTTTGGAGATATATTTTAAGAAACTTTCATTTTAATACATAAAGATATAGAAAAACTGAACAAGTATTATAAATAATTACAAAAAGAAACTTACCTGCAAGTAAAAAATTCTCTGTTTTTTTAAGAACTTATCTCACAAAATTACATATTCCCTTAACACTTTTGTAAATGACCCTTCAATAGAGATTAGGTGATCATAGTTAGAACCCCACATGAAAACTTCCAGTCACTGAACCTGTGGTCACTCAGCAAGTAGCTCACCACTGAGAACATTTCACCAAAGGATTCATGCGGGAGCTCAATGGGCATCTGAAGGCTTCGGCAAATTCTTGCGAGTTACGTAAGGCACCCAGAACTCTGAAGACATAAAATGGTAGGCTGTAAGTTTAAGAATTTAATGTGCATACATTATGTAGAACAAGGAATGTTTTATAAAAGGAAACAATGTAATTTGTTTTATTTTACAAAAAGCACATATAACTGTAGAATTTATTTTTTTTGCTTTTTTAAAACAGTTTTAGAAATTGTAAATTTAAAGTGAAATTAGCACATAATTGCCACCAAATAAAACTTATCTTGTGATGTTTTGGTGATTTGTGTGGTGGGATTTTCTATTGTGCAATCTGCCCTCATAATATAAGTTTTCTATAGAAATCACTTTTATATGATACATGTTTACACAACCTAAAAAGTTTGACAGTGGTAGCAGAAACTAAATCATGTTTTAGAATAAAAAAATGTTCATATTCAAAGAACATCAAACACTTTGTTTTTGCTTTAATTTTTTTGCCATGAGATAAAAGAGAATATCAGGTATTAAAACTTTGTAAAATGTGTTTACTCTTTTTCACTTTAATCTTCTCTATAAACAATTTCAAATAAAAATTTATGCCTACATCAACACAGTAGCTACCTGTATTTAGGGGGTGATAACTGGCTTTCTTTCATAAATTCTCTCTCCAAATCATCATGTGTCCTCCCACACCAAGACTGCAAAGCATCAAATAAAATAGACTTTTCTTTTAAAAACAATCTTCAGTAAAAGGAGATGTGTTTGTTGGAATCTTGTTTCACTTTCAACTAGTGTTTATTTTATGGTGATCTGCTTGTTTTAAGGGTTGCTTAAAAAATTTTATTGTGACCTCTTTTTCTTCTTCTTCTTCGTTCTCATTTTTAGTGTTGGGAGGGATCTCCTCCAACATAATAAAGTATATATGTCAACTGGTTATGCGCCATTGAGGCCATTGGCTACCATCTCAGCCTGCTTTTCTTTTTGGATTTGCTTCCATAGCCTTTGTCCAACTAAGAACAAACTACAAGGCTGCAGTTGTTTAATTTTGGAGTTGTCTCCAATCGTGACCAACTTTAACAATTTTTGCATAATTTTAAACTTAAAATATAATGAAAGCTGGAAATTTGTCATTATTGTTCTTTATATTTTCATACTTTTAAAAATATTTAAAGGTATTTATTAATTATGGGGCTTCAGTAAACAAAATACTATTATGTAAAAAGTTCCCAAAAATACTAAATGTTCTGTAGATTGAGAAATGCAGGTGTGTACCTGGCATACATATTATCTTTGACTCAAGGGTAAAGAATCAAGGAAACAATGAAACATATCTCTGTTACCTTTGTAACCTGACTCATAACTTTCTTCCCTCCTGTGTAATCAAGTTCAAAGGGAATTCTGCCTTACCTGTGCAAAGCTGAGGAAAAAAACTTGATTGTGGTCCAAGTTGATCCCAGGCAGTCTTATTTCCTCTGAGCCTGTTCTTTTTACATAGTGTCTGTAAGCCTGAACATTCAAACATACATACAAACCATATTTTTGTGTTAGTTGGCAATAAAATTACAACCCTGTCATTTTGTCTATAATATTGGACAGTGGCGTAGCGAGGAAGGGTGACACCAAGGCAAAAAGTAGCATAATGTATAGAGAAAAATGATAATTCTACTTAATTAAGTGATTCATTCGAGTGTTAAATAGTCTTTTAAGAGGTGCAAATCGAAAGTTTGGGGGGAGGGGGTGCAAATCGAAAATTGAAAGTTTGTCTCTGGGAAGAGTCGCTACCCCTCTGGGGGTGACAGCACTAAGTGCCGCACTGGGTGACACCCGACCCACTATGCCACTGATATTGGATAAATTTTTTTATAGATCTAATACTTCCACTATAATTTAATATGAGAAAGTAAAAAAGTGTTGTTCAGTTTAATGTTGAGCTTTACTTACTCTGTAGCTTTGTTTCAGACCTTTATTATCTGCAATGTTTCGACTGACTGTTTTTTCACCGTCTAACTATAGAAGTATATGAAACATTTCTACATTTGAAAATAATATATTTAATGATAAACTTTTTTTAAAATTCTGTTATTTGATCAGTTTTAGTTGAAAAGTATTGTAACTGTCTCTTGAACAGTTAATTTATGCCAATAAAATTTATATAACCTTATTATTTATAAAAAAAATACTTATGATTTAGCCATATAAATTATTCTATTCAAAATTAAATGCATAGTTTGCAATCAGCCACATTTAAAATAACAGAATGTGGATGAGGAATGGCTTATAAAGATTACGAAAACTGCTTAGTTTTTGTTCAAATATTCAATATATTTTAAAAAAATCACAATTATTTTTCATTAGTATGATAATTAGAAATTGATGATTAATAAAAATCTTCATCACTTTAAAAATATCATTTGAGCAAGACCAATTAATCACATTAAACAATATTAACACATATATTTTGATTTAATTATATGTTTTACAACTATATGTCAGATGCATTATTGTTTCAGCTTCATGTGAGATACATTTTAAAATGCTAAGTTGTAAGTTTTATTTTTTACTGCTGGTGTTAATAGCATCTCACATTGTGCTGTTTCCATCTGTAACAGCCATACTGCTCTTTAAAACAGTCAGCTTGTATGTTAAAATTTTCTCTGTCTTTTTCAGACCACCATGTTTTTAGGTCATTTTTGGTGTCTGAAATACAAAATAATCAGGGTGTTTAAACAAAGGCAGTTATTTTTTTCATAGTTAAAACATTATGTGAAAAAACGCTCAAAGTTATAAATCAAAATGGAAATTAGCTTTTGCTGATCACAAAAGATCACAAAACAATTGAATGTAAAAACATTTTATATCTATTTTTTTTAAAAACGTCATTATTTACCATAATGATCTAATCCATAATTGAGCTCATGGCTGATGATCATTCCAATAGCCCCATAATTTACTGAGCTGAAAGTAATTGTATGTAATGTCAGAATTTTTTTTTAAAATATCTGTGTTCAATTGAGAGAAAGCAATAAGCAAAATATATGCAGTTTTAGTTGTTTTTTTTTAACTGGTAGAATTTATTTAACCTCACAAATATTATCAGTATAAATGTCAGTTTAAATTTAGGCTTTTCAAAGTGTAGCCCTATTTTATGTGTTTTATTGACCACTAACACCTTAAAAAAATCTCTTACAGTCTAGCAAATAGAGTTAGCGTTTACATGACTCAGAGATTGGATTTGTTTATCAAAGCTAATCTAAACGGATCTTCAACTCTTACCTGGGATGAGTTAGACTGAGTAATGGTTCTTGAAGAATGCCTGCAGGCACAACTATTAAAAACATGTTTATAGTTTTAGTTGGCATTGAAAATTTTAATTTTTGCTGAGGAAATTACTGTAATTTACAAAATATTTAATTATTTAAAATTTTAATGCATAATGTTTGGAGTTTTTAAAAAATGACACTTACAAATTTCATTAACAAATGAATCATATGTGACAGCAGATGTTATTAAATCAGTTGGCCATCTGAAAAACATAATCAAATAGTTATATTACACGTACAATATAAAACTATGATGCAATACAGTAGATCATAATTTAAGTGAATTAGTATACATGTAAATTAAGGATCATCCATACACATTTTAAAAATTTTAATATTTAAATTATTTTTTTACTAGCTTTTCTAACCAGAATTCTGTCCCCACTTAAAATTATTTTAAATTGTTCCAATCCAATACCCTGATCCTCACAATTTTAAATTATTATATAAACAAACATGTTTATCACTAAAAAAAAACTTTAAAACAAATTTGCTAAATCATAATACTAGGTGCCATTATGTTTCTGTTTTAAAAAAGTTTGAAAATTATCTGCTTAAATTTACCCTAACATAAGAAGTGTTTTCCACTTCTACATTTTACTAAGCAATGATTATTTTTTTAAAATTATTGCAGTAAAATAATTTATAATATTAGTATTTGTAGCCTTCTTTGTTTGTTAATAGATTTATTTTTTATAAAATGAAAAATACTTTGATTGGCATAAAGGCATGAAAAATAAGCCTTTGTATAGAGTACCATAGTCTAGAATTTCCTTAAACTTTCTTTGTACAAATCTTGCCTGAAAAACTTACATTGATATATCTCTTGGCTCCCTGAACTTCTTGAATCTTTCTGACACAGAAGTCCTGATAGATTCCACAAGAGTCTCAAAGTATTCACTAGGTGGACTCTACAAAGTAAAATTACAGTCAGTATTGTTTCGTATTTAAGATTTTTAGAAATTTTTACCATCTTTTAAACAGAATTGTAATATAATTAAGTTGTCTGATGTATATGACTGTAGATTTACCGTTGGATATAGAGCATTGAGTCTACTATCTTCATTGATGTAGTCTGGGTATCCAACTTTTTGTTTCAGTGCTGTTACCTATTTAACAGAATTTTCAGAAATATTTCAATGGGAAAGTTGATTAACAAGTATTTTAATTACATCAGTTGATCTATTTTAGAATAATAGTTTTAATCATAGATTAAAATGTCATTTTTATTATTCTAAAAACAAAAATGAAAATAAAATAACACTCTTTTGTGCTGAAGGAAAGAAGAGTTAAATTAATGTTTATGTAAAGAAAAACTACCTTAGTTTTGACTTCATTTTTGGTCTCTTCTGTCATCCATGTATTTTCAGACAACAAATCTCTGTAGGCCACTGTCAGATCATCTAGCATTTCCTTCAGCTGGTGAAGAAATGTATGCCAAGTTAACAAGCAGTATATTAAAGTAAGAGTAAGTTTTGTTTGATCAAGTAATCTCTTTAATATGTTAGGTTTTAATACTTAAATAAGCATTGTAAACATACAGTTGTATATAAACACAATAACAAGACAAGGTACAGAAGTTGCTTTAGAAAAGAGAGATCATCAAAACTAGACATGATCTAAGACAGCTAATTCATATTGCCCATGATTCTTATAATCAACTCTGGTCAGAGGCATAGCGAGGGGGAGGCGGGGGTGCAGACCGCACCGGGTGACACCATTTAGGGAGGTGACACCAAGGCAAAAAATAGCAAAATATATAGAGAAAAACTTGAGAAGGGGGGGTGCAAATCAAAAGTTTGAGGGGGAGGGGGGGGTGCAAATCGAAAGGTTGAGGGGGTGGGTGCAAATCGAAAAGTTGAAAGTTTGTCCCTCTGGGGGGTGACACCATTAAGTGCCGCACCGGGTGACACCCGACCTCGCTACGCCACTGACTCTGGTTATTAAATGACTGGACCATAGATCTACCCCTGACCTAATAACATAAAATGAGGGATTACCTGAAAATACACTTATAAAGGCAAAATGAAGCTTCACCCACATTTTTTACACCGCTCTTTTTAAAGCAAATAGATCTACATGTCAAATTTTCAATATGGATTTTGGATTTTAAAATATTTTCTTAGTAAACACCTTTTATAAAAATAGTTTTGAGCTCTGTTTATAGCTGTATCTTTTAGCTACACCAGCAATTCTCTTTTACTTAAGTCCCTTTTAATGTGTTAAAAATTATAAAATGTATTTACATATTTCATGGCCTTTTTGTTGAAATATGTGTCTATGTACATTCGACTGAGGGCTTCTGGGTAAACTCTGATAGCCTGATTGACACAAAACTCCCATCTGGGCTGGGCTGTTTTCCTTGTATTCACCTGGTAAACATTTTAAACATTTCAGTAGAGTGGCTTAAAGGCCATAAATTTTATTCACCTGGTAAACATTTTAAACATGTCAATAGAGTGGCTTAAAGGCCATAAATTGTATTCACCTGGTAAACATTTTAAACATGTCAGTAGAGAAGCTTAAAGGCCATAAATTGTATTCACCTGGTAAACATTTTAAACATGTCAGTAGAGTGGCTTAAAGGCCATAAATTGTATTCACCTGGTAAACATTTTAAACATGTCAATAGAGTGGCTTAAAGGCCATAAATTGTATTCACCTGGTAAACATTTTAAACATGTCAGTAGAGTGGCTTAAAGGCCATAAATTGTATTCACCTGGTAAACATTTTAAACATGTCAATAGAGTGGCTTAAAGGCCATAAATTGTATTCACCTGGTAAACATTTTAAACATGTCAATAGAGTGGCTTAAAGGCCATAAATTGTATTCACCTGGTAAACATTTTAAACATGTCAATAGAGTGGCTTAAAGGCCATAAATTGTATTCACCTGGTAAACATTTTAAACATGTCAATAGAGTGGCTTATAGGCCATAAATGGCAAGACAGAAATTGAGTCATACAAGCCAAACTATTGTAATCTCAAATTTTAAAATTAGAATAGCATGGCTTAAAAGCCTTCAATAGAGAAAACTATTGATGTAAACAGAAATTTAGTCATACAAACCAGAATATTGTAGTCTCAAATTTTGAATATCATGGCTTAAAAGCCATCAATGGAGGTAAATTACAGATGAAGACAGAAATTGCGTCATACAAATTAGAATATTGTGGTCCCAAATTTTCAAAGTTTGAAAATCATGGCTTTAAAGTTATCATTGGAGAAAAACTATTGACTAAGACAGAGTCTTACAAACCAGAATATTGTAGTCCCAAATTTTAAATATTTGAATATCATGGCTTGAAAGTTATCATTGGAGAAAAACTATTAATGAAGAAAAAAATTAAATCAGACAGAAACTGAGTCCTACAAACCAGCAGGTTTTGGTCCCAAAGTGCCCTGAAGTTGGCATCCAAATGAGGAGTCAGCAACAACAGATGAGTCAGCAGATAGTTTGAGAGCACACTGAAAAATATTTTTTTTTAAATGATGGTGCATTGTTGAAAAATATACACAGGTTTAATATTAACAGATTTTTTTTAAAACCACATAAAAAAATTTCCAGGCCTCCATTTTGATTAAATAGTTTGAAAAATGTCATTTAGTTATGATAGAACATGTAAAAGTGTGCATACCGTTTAGATGTTGTGCTGATTACAGAGCCCAGTTTTTCTAAAAAGCGTGGATCCATATTAGTAATGACGTCATCAGCACTTATGAAAAGTGTTGGACTATAGGAGGCTCTCAGTGCTTGTAGTAGATTCAACCAGTTTATCTAGATTGATCATTTTTATTGTCAGTTATTGAAAACAAAACTTTAAATTTTAAAATAAATCTCAAGAGTAGAGTTGTGCTTACATAGTATTACATTTAAATGTTGTGTTTTTTTTATTTTCATTCTTCCCCATTTTATGAAATGTTATGCTACATTTTCCATTTTCCATCCTCCCCCCCCCCCCCCCCCGTCATATTAAATACAAGTAAAATACCCTTTTGAACCTTAAGGCCCTTGAGGCAGATAAAGTAGAGTTGACATGTTTCAGTGAACTTGGCAAATGAAGGGATAGTGTGGTAAGCACTTATGCCAAAAAAAACTATGCCATCCCATCTCAAATAGCATTTCTGCTAATTCTTCTTCAACTCCACCCTAGATACAATAAATTTATCCCACACTGTTAGCAGAAAATGTGTGAAGATAAAAAAAAAATCAAAGACAATGTAACATTGTTTGTGTATAACAATGTTTGTATATGTGCATGCGTGTGTGTAGGTGTGTGTGTGTGTGTGTGTGTGTGTGTGTGTGCGTGAACAATCCTACAGATAAAATTGTGAATGCTTTATTAATCTAAAGATACTATCTGTATGACTTTACCCAGGCATACTTGCTTTGTAGCTCTAATCTAAAGATACTATCTGTATGACTTTACCCAGGCATACTTGCTTTGTAGCTCTAATCTAAAGATACTATCTGTATGACTTTACCCAGGCATACTTTCTTTGTAACTCTAATCTAAAGATACTATCTGTATGACTTTACCCAGGCATACTTGCTTTGTAGCTCTAATCTAAAGATACTATCTGTATGACTTTACCCAGGCATACTTGCTTTGTAGCTCTAATCTAAAGATACTATCTGTATGACTTTACCCAGGCATACTTGCTTTGTAGCTCAGCTATCGTCATGGTCACCTCTTCAGGCATATGATAATTATATAGGACAGCCTAGGGAGTAAAAGACAAAATTGTATTATTAGATTGAGAGCTTTACCCTGTATCCAGTTACAAGTGTTTGATTTTTTTTCGGATTAGAAGAGTTATTTTTATTATTGAGATCTGTACACGATAGAATAAGAATCTAGTTAGAGATACAATAATATATAATAGGTGGGCACACTACAGTAGTTAAGTTAATGCTCTCAAAACCAGGTTATTAATCGGGCAGATGAAGTAGAATTCATGTTTTACTGTGACACAGGGATGTGTTACCAGAGGCGTAGCGACCCTTCCCGGCGCCCGAGGACAAACTTTCAATTTGGCGCCCCCCTCGGGAGCATCCTTGCATATTTTCAATTTGCACCCCCCCCCCCCTCAAACTATCGATTTGCACCCCCACCCCCTCAAACTTTCAATTTGCACCTAAAATGAGATATTAATTTTTTTCCAACCCATTTTGGCGCTCACTAAGGTCGGCGCCCGGGGACGGACATATGTACTCCCCCCCGCTCCCTCGCTACGCCTCTGTGTGTTACTAAAACTTTAGAATAAAAACTCGTACGCTAAACTCAGACTGTAAACATCCAACACGCTGTCCCATCATTAAGCAAGAACTCAGTTTGAAATGGGCCCTTATTGTTCTGATTATCTTACCTTAGTCACATTAAGCTCAAAATCAACAACTTCTGCTGCAGCTGTCTTGGCATCTGCCTCAACAACACCCAAAGGCACCAACAACTTTACCAGCCATTCTTCGTAAGTCTTCATGTCGTCACGCGTAGTTGTGAGAGTTATGTTGAAATTCATGCTGTTTATTTTCCCTTTGTCAACCTAGGTTTTTTTTATTCAAGGGAAACAATCAAGAAAATTAAAGTTCATTTATTATAATGTATTATTGCCCTTTATTAATTACAATTGTTACATTCGTCAAGTACGCATAATTGCGTGAATTGTAATTTCAAGTAAAATTGATTAACTACAGATGTAAATGCTTACATATATCTTTCTCTTGGTATCCGTTTCTCGTTTAATCCCTACTGTTACCAATGGGAACAGTTCTGGAATAAAATCATTTACATTATTAATTCTATTTTCTTTGGATGAAGTTCATTAATTTAATGACAATTATACATATTATTATTAAAATATTTTAACTTTTTAAACAATAGATGTGGAATGAAAACTTTAATGAGTTTCAGGTATACCGATTGTTGGACAATCGGCCCATTTATGTTGATTAAAAACACATCTAGGTTTTAAAAAAAAGCTGAAATATTTAAACTATTAGTTTTCCATCATCTTCGAGTTTTAATATTATTTAGTTTGACAAGACTGTAGTTTTGTAAATATTGATTTCATAGGTTCTATTCTAGAGTGACTCAGGGCGACAGTAAGGGCATTATTGTCCAATCAAGCGAGTTATACTTTAATTATCAAAATAAGTGGGATCCCTGGTTTATTGACTGGGTAAGTCCCTACACCTCATATATCATTGAACTGTCTACTGTATCTCAAGCTTATTTTTCGCTTTGGTCATCAATTCTTTATGACATTAAGGGGGGGGGTGTCGCCAGTGAGGTAAACACACACCCTCCTTCTCATCTTTTTTTCGTTCCAGCCCAAGACATATGTGTCGCATGAAGTAGAGTTTATCTGTTTCTATGACATCCACATGGTCAGCACTATGCCCAGAACACACCCCATAGAGACGCCAACGTGAGTTACAGAGGAAATTATTTACTTGCCAAGTTTAATCATCTCCACCAGAATCCTCTCCAGACTAAAAGCTGTCTCGTTCCAGTTCTTGTCCAAAACAGGAAAACTCCCCAGCTGTTTAGCGAGATCTACGAATGGTTTTGCCCCTCTGTGATTCAAATTGACTGGCAATTTAAAAAAAAAAATCAGCATTGTCACAATGATAGTGGTGATAGAGTAAGAGAGGGGGGGTCGGACTTTGTGACTATTTGCAATGAAAGGTGGGGGAGGGGTAAATATATATAACGGTGCATTCATTTAATATTATGTAATCACAAATATATATTATATTTAAAACAACTGTTGATTTTCGTAACAAGAATGGTTATTCGATATACGTCTATTAATTAGTGTTTTTATTGTAACGTAGAGGTTGTGGGGGGAGGGGGGGTTATGATGGGTGGATGGGTTAAATTTGACTAAATGTATGATATTCATTATCAAAGACTCCTTTATTGGTACCACTGGTGATATTATTAGTTTAGTAATGAATTTAGGCTAAGATATTGCTTCAATTTTTTAATCAAACAATATTATACTAGAACAAATGAGTACACATTTACACCCAGTTGTATGGTGTCTATACTCACCAGTGTTCATACACAAAGATTTACACCCAGTTGTATGGTGTCTATACTCACCAGTGTTCATACACAAAGATTTACACCCAGTTGTATGGTGTCTATACTCACCAGTGTTCATACACAAAGATTTACACCCAGTTGTATGGTGTCTATACTCACCAGTGTTCATACACAAAGATTTACACCCAGTTGTATTGTATCTGTACTCACCTGTGTTCATACACAAAGATTTACACCCAGTTGTATTGTGTCTGTACTCACCTGTGTTCATACACAAAGATTTACACCCAGTTGTATGGTGGCTGTACTCTGTGTTCATACACAAAGATTTACACCCAGTTGTATTGTGTCTGTACTCACCTGTGTTCATACACAAAGATTTACACCCAGTTGTATGGTGGCTGTACTCTGTGTTCATACACAAAGATTTACACCCAGTTGTATTGTGTCTGTACTCACCTGTGTTCATACACAAAGATTTACACCCAGTTGTATGGTGGCTGTACTCTGTGTTCATACACAAAGATTTACACCCAGTTATATGGTGTCTGTACCTACTCACCTGTGTTCATACACAAAGATTTACACCCAGTTGTATGGTGCCTGTACTCACTGTGTTCATACACAAAGATTTACACCCAGTTGTATGGTGCCTGTACTCACCTGTGTTTATACACAAAGATTTACACCCAGTTGTATGGTGCCTGTACTCACCTGTGTTCATACACAAAGATTTACACCCAGTTGTATGGTGTTTGTACTCACTGTGTTCATACACAAAGATTTACACCCAGTTGTATGGTGTCTGTACTCACTGTGTTCATACACAAAGATTTACACCCAGTTGTATGGTGTCTGTACTCACCTGTGTTCATACACAAAGATTTACACCCAGTTGTATGGTGTTTGTACTCACTGTGTTCATACACAAAGATTTACACCCAGTTGTATGGTGTCTGTACTCACCTGTGTTCATACACAAAGATTTACACCCAGTTGTATGATGCCTGTACTCACCTGTGTTCATACACAAAGATTTACACCCAGTTGTATGGTGTCTGTACTCACCTGTGTTCATACACAAAGATTTACACCCTGTTGTATGGTTTCTGTACCTACTCACCTGTGTTCATACACAAAGATTTACACCCAGTTGTATGGTGCCTGTACTAACCTGTTATTATACACAAAGATTTACACCCAGTTGTATGGTGCCTGTACTCACCTGTGTTCATACACAAAGATTTACACCCAGTTGTATTGTGTCTGTACTCACCAGTGTTCATACACAAAGATTTACACCCAGTTGTATGGTGTCTGTACTCACCTGTGTTCATACACAAAGATTTACACCCAGTTGTATGGTGTCTGTACCTACTCACCTGTGTTCATACACAAAGATTTACACCCAGATGTATGGTGTCTGTACTCACCTGTGTTCATACACAAAGATTTACACCCAGTTGTATGGTGCCTGTACTCTGTTTTCATACACAAAGATTTACACCCAGTTGTATGGTGTCAGTACTCACCTGTGTTCATACACAAAGATTTACACCCAGTTGTATGGTGCCTGTACTCACCTGTGTTCATACACAAAGATTTACACCCAGTTGTATGGTGTCTGTACTCACCTGTGTTCATACACAAAGATTTACACCCAGTTGTATGGTGGCTGTACTCTGTGTTCATACACAAAGATTTACACCCAGTTGTATTGTGTCTGTACTCACCTGTGTTCATACACAAAGATTTACACCCAGTTGTATGGTGGCTGTACTCTGTGTTCATACACAAAGATTTACACCCAGTTGTATTGTGTCTGTACTCACCTGTGTTCATACACAAAGATTTACACCCAGTTGTATGGTGGCTGTACTCTGTGTTCATACACAAAGATTTACACCCAGTTGTATTGTGTCTGTACTCACCTGTGTTCATACACAAAGATTTACACCCAGTTGTATGGTGGCTGTACTCTGTGTTCATACACAAAGATTTACACCCAGTTGTATTGTGTCTGTACTCACCTGTGTTCATACACAAAGATTTACACCCAGTTGTATGGTGGCTGTACTCTGTGTTCATACACAAAGATTTACACCCAGTTGTATTGTGTCTGTACTCACCTGTGTTCATACACAAAGATTTACACCCAGTTGTATGGTGTCTGTACTCACCTGTGTTCATACACAAAGATTTACACCCAGTTGTATGGTGCCTGTACTCACCTGTGTTCATACACAAAGATTTACACCCAGTTGTATTGTGTCTGTACTCACCAGTGTTCATACACAAAGATTTACACCCTGTTGTATGGTGCCTGTACTCACCTGTGTTCATACACAAAGATTTACACCCAGTTGTATGGTGTCTGTACTCACCTGTGTTCATACACAAAGATTTACACCCAGTTGTATGGTGTCACCTGTGTTCATACACAAAGATTTACACCCAGTTGTATTGTGTCTGTACTCACCTGTGTTCATACACAAAGATTTACACCCAGTTGTATGGTGTCTGTACTCACCTGTGTTCATACACAAAGATTTACACCCAGTTGTATGGTGTCTGTACTCACCTGTGTTCATACACAAAGATTTACACCCAGTTGTATGGTGTCTGTACTCACCTGTGTTCATACACAAAGATTTACACCCAGTTGTATTGTATCTGTACTCACCTGTGTTCATACACAAAGATTTACACCCAGTTGTATGGTGTCTGTACTCACCTGTGTTCATACACAAAGATTTACACCCAGTTGTATGGTGTCAGTACTCACCTGTGTTCATACACAAAGATTTACACCCAGTTGTATGGTGTCTGTACTCACCTGTGTTCATACACAAAGATTTACACCCAGTTGTATGGTGCCTGTACTCACCTGTGTTCATACACAAAGATTTACACCCAGTTGTATGGTGTCTGTACTCACCTGTGTTCATACACAAAGATTTACACCCAGTTGTATGGTGGCTGTACTCACCTGTGTTCATACACAAAGAGTAGAAAGACTTGGGGTGAGATCGATAAACTGGATCTGTCGATATCCTCTTCTCCTCCAACAGATCTGGGGAGTAGGTGGGATAGAAACAGTTGGTGAGAGAAACAGTTGGTGAGATAGAAACAGGTGGTGAGATAGAAACGGTGGGATAGAAATAGTTGGTGAGATAGAAACAGACATGGTGGTTTGTGCTTGATTAGTAAGTAAATAAGTAAACTCCCCCTTTTATAGCGAACCATCCATAGAAAGGGATGGTGTGGTCAGCATTATGCCCAGTCGTCTTTGCTTTCCTTTACGTGAGTCAGGTACCCTTCAGAACTGAAATTTAATCAGGACGCCCTGTATGAATCCGGACTTTGATTACACAATGTAAATTGCTGTACATATTTGTATGCTTAAAAAATGCTCACGAAAAAGTAGAATAACGGCGTGGTTGGGCGGGAGAGTCTATGATTACTAGCACCAAAAGTCCAGAGTTCGAACACAGTGGCAGATAAGGGAGAGTAACTCATCTAGGAGAGACAACTCCAAAATCAAACAACCGATACCATGAATAAAAGCTATGAAAGCAAATCAGAAAGAATAGCAGACTGAAAACGGAGTCAACTAGCTATATAGTATAACATGTTGACATGCATAACTCAATTCTGATGGAAAAGTTACCTCCAACATTACAATTACAGAACTAAAGAAGATAAAGAAGTAACAGAATAACTAAGATGTGGGCATGTCGGTATTTATATTTAGGAACATTTTAAGAAATACAAGAATGAGGTTTAGACCACAGGTCTTCCTTCGAAAGAATGAAAATATTTTTTAAAGCTATTTATATTGTATTGTTCTGACGATTTACTCGTCTACTGTCATATCTTTAGTCGACATTGACCGTGTACAATAGTTCATTGATCAGAGAGCGGTGCTTACATTTGACCTTGACCTTAGCTTTGACTGAATAATCACCTGAGCAAAGTGCGATGCTTACATTTGACCTTTGACCTTAATACTAATCACAAAAACGCTACAATCAGCTTGATTAAAGTACCGTGAATACATTTGACCCATGACCCTTGACCTTTCACCTTAATACTAAAGACAAAAACGCTACAATCAGCTTGATCAAAGTGCGGTGCTTACTTTTGACCTTAATACTAATGACAAAAACGCTACAATCAGCTTGAGCAAAATGTGGTCCTTACATTTGTCCTTGAACTTTGACCTTAATACTGATGACAACAACTCTACAATCAGCTTGATCATAGCGCGGTGCTTACATTTGACCTTTGACCTTAATACTAATGACAAAAACGCTACAATCAGCTTGATTAAAGTGCCGTGAATACATTTGACCCATGACCCTTGACCTTTAACCTTAATACTAATGACAAAAACGCTACAATCAGCTTGATCAAAGTGCGGTGCTTACTTTTGACCTTTGACCTTAATACTAATGACAAAAACGCTACAATCAGCTTGATTAAAGTGCCGTGAATACATTTGACCATGACCTTTGACCTTAATACTAATGACAAAAACTCTACAATCAGCTTGATTAAAGCTCGGTGCTTACTTTTGACCTTAACGATGTTGCTGGTGTTGATGAGCGAGTGGGTGTCGAGGGACTGGCCAGGCTGGAGGACGTGGTCCTTCTTCCACCCCCCACAGGCGTACTGGTAAAAGTCCACACACGGGTCCACCCTCTTGTCCATCGAAGACTCGAGGCGAGACGCTGCCAGAGTTTGAAAGACAGTTCATTCAGGCATGGCATTTCTGTTTTCATTTAGAACTTAAACAAGGTGGGTGGGGGGGAAGCAAGTTAAGTAATCCCCGTACTAATAAATTATAAACAGGCCTACTTCGGAAATGAGCCTGACACATTGCATTCAGACATTTAAATTAAGTTTTAATTTAGAACTTAAACAAGTACTACAACGAATTTCTTTATGTGTTTTTGCTGAGGAGGGGGGGAGTAGTTACATAATCGACGCACTATTAAATTATGAACAGGCCTACTAAGAAATATCAAATCATCGTCCCAAAATAAGCCTGACATGGTGCCTTCTGACGATTAAAATAAAGTTTCAATTTATCTATAAATTTAATAATCATATAATATTTTTGTGTAGTGTAAGGCAAGTTGTTTAGTAACTACTAAAGCATGAATACGTAGGAATCAAAATTGGTCCTTAAAATTACCCAAGTCAATTATGCCGATTTTTTTTACACATCCACGTTCCACTCATTGTTACTACTGTTACGTGTCGGTACAAAACCCCAGACATCCTCTCCCTCTAAAGTGATTTCATAATATTCTACCCCCCCCCCCCTTCTTCCGCCTCATTCCTATACAATTAAGATTGAAACGAACTTTTTTTTCTCGATATTACATCATCTAAACGTACAAAATCAATACTTAGTAACGTTTTTTACCCTACCTCCCACAAAACATACCATATCTGCCATCCCCCCCCCCCTCACCTAAGGATTACATAAATGTTCGTCTATCTCGCGTTGCTGGGCCCAGAGGCGTAGCGAGGGGGCGGGGGTGCGGACCGCACCGGGTGACACCATTTAGGGGGGGGGGGGTGACACCAAGGCAAAAAATAGCAAAATATATAAATATATACAGAAAAACTTGGGGGGGGGGGTGCAAATCGAAAGTTTGAGGGGGGGGGTGCAAATCGAAATTTTGAAAGTTTGTCTCCGGGAAGGGTCACTGCGCCTCTGGGGGGTGACACCATTAAGTGCCGCACCGGGTGACACCCGACCTAGCTACGCCACGGGCTGGGCCACATAGTGATAAACCATGCCCGTACACCAGGCCCCCAGAGCCGAGGATAAAGGGCCAGGAGTTCAGTGGACAGATCTCACTAATGATGGGTAGACTGGCGGGAGAACAAGAGATACTAAAGTAAAAATACGTACATGTTCGGACACAGTTGTCGGTGAAGCAAATGACTGAAATGGAAATGATAAAAACACATCAAATACAAGTTATTGTTAAACATTCAGAAAACTATACAATTTTTGCTCAGTTTTAAAGGTATTGATATATATATATATATATATATATATATATATATATATATATATATATATATATATATTAAAGAACAAAATTTGTTTTTAATGATTTTCAAAATGTAAAATTCTAAATATAAATTGACACAGGCACCCCTTCACAAATAGCTGTAACGTAAGACAACTCTCATTTAGGATGTGTTGTGCTGAATTGTTTTATCCTTTTAATATAATGGTTATTTCCCTTTAATAAAGCTCCGCTGTGCTCTCACACACCCACTCGCACCATACACAAACACACGCACAGAAACACACACCCCGCCAACTGCCACACACTTTATTACCACACCCTTTATTCCCACACCCTTTATTCCCACACTCTTTATTCCTACACCCCTTATTCCCACACACTTTATTCCCACACATTTTATTCCCACACATTTTATTCCCACACATTTTATTCCCACACACTTTGTTCCCACACACTTTATTCCCACACACTTTATTCCCACACACTTACCTGGTGGTGGGGATGAGAAAAAGTAGAAGATAATAAAAGCGGCAACAAATCCCAGACAGATGATGATAATGATGATAGCTAGCACGATGAGAACTTTTTCCAACGTGCTTCTCTTATCCATGCACCCCGCCCTGGGGGGTGGGGCGTCAGCTGGAATGGGCGTCAACGGCTGGGTTATGGCGACCTCCTCGGGTAGGGGTGGGGGTGGGTCTGGGTCGATGCTGTAGAAAGATGTGTAAAAGTTAATTTTATATTTACTCAAGAAATAGTTTGAATTCCCTCATACACAATTAGGGGCGTAGCGAGGGGGGGGGGGGGGGGGCGGGGGGTGCGGACCGCACCAGGTGACACCATTTAGTGGGGGTGACACCAAGGCAAAAAATAGCAAAATATATAAAGAAAAACTTGAGGGGGGGGTGTAAATCGAAAGTTTGAGGGGGGGGGGGGTTGCAAATCGAAAATTTGTCCCCGGGAATGGTCGCTACGTCTCTGGGGGGTGACACGATTAAGTGCCGCACCGGGTGACACCCGACCTCGCTACGCCACTGTACACAATGGCTATTTACGTTTTAAAAGCTGAAGAGCCTACTTCCTTTCTTCCTTTAAATCAGCGCAAACCGTATTGTAGTTTCTCCAGTGTGATTTTAAGATAATGTTAAAATAACTAGGCTCCCTTTTTATAGAGCGTTGCACTTATATTAAAGGTTTACTTTTTAGTTTTAGTTATGCAATTTTTATGTTGGATGATTTATTTAATTTTATGTTTTCTGTGAGGCTTAGGGTTAGCGTTAGATTTAGATTTAAATTGGCTTTGACGGTTTTAATTAAAAGTCAGGCTTTGTAAAGCTCATTGGATTTTTTTCACCATTTAAAATTAATGATTATCACCTGCATGAGATATTGGTACAGGTAAGTGTTATGAGATATGTGGGCGTGAAAGTGTGTGTGTTTAGTGTTGAGTAGCGGAAGTGGTGTGATGATGTGTGGGGGTTGAAGTGTTGAGTGGTGAGGGGAATCGTGTGAATTGAGATGTGCGAATATATATGCATTAATATAAGATATTATTTTTTTTAAAGTTGGATTTTACTGATTCGAGGGCAATTAGATATGAATGGTTTGAATGGGGTATGTGTGGGATTATGTATGTAGTCAAGTGTGTATGTGAAGTGTGTGTGGGCATGTGTGTGGGATTATGTAAGTAGTCGAGTGTGTATGGGCATGTGTGTGGAATTATGTATGTAGTCGAGTGTGTATGGGCATGTGTGTGGAATTATGTATGTAGTCAAGTGTGTATCGGAAGTGTGTATGGGCATGTGTGCGAGTAGTTTATCACGTGAATAAGAGAAGAATGTATGGACGTGTGTTATAAGATCGTGTATGTAGTATGTAAATGGGTGGATATATGTTTGTATTAGACAGTAGGAGAATAGATTTCTACATAATCTGGTATTAATTTATTAATGACTTATAGACGAATAGTAATAATACGGAAAGTTATCTTTACAGAATGTTATTTCAACGCCAAAGGAAGACACATAAGCAACATTTTATAATATTAGACAAAGTAGTTTTTTTTTCTAAGTGGGTGAGGTTTGTTTTGTTTTTGATTGTATTACACGTGGTAGGTTGTTGCTAAAGAGCGGTGTTGTGTGATACTGAAGGTGATTTTCTTAATGAGTCTTTAGAATCCCACAGTCTTATCGTGCCTAGATGTTGAGTATTGTGTGTGTGTGTGTGTGCGTGTGGGTGGTCCGGAAGTTATGTAATACGAGGCTTGGTGGTCTATGTGTATCTAATACAACATTATACATTTATATGTGGTAGAGTATGTCGCATGCTGTGCTATAGAATATATGCACTCTCCTTTAGTGTAAGGTTTATGTGTAAGTATCGTTACTAATCACGTCGATAAATCTTAGTTGTAGTTATGTATTTTTATTTTTATGTGTTATGTATTAGGTATGAAAGTAAATCCAGCAATAAATGCAGTTTGAAATCGGAATCAATAGGCCTACTTGCGAATAACATGCTGACACGAAATACTTAATTGTGTTGGGGAAAATCTCCGACCAAATGTACAATTAAGAACGAGGAAGAAGAAGAAGAGACCAATTAAAAATATATTATTGAATGGTGTGTAAGCTTGATACATTTTAAATCAATACAGAAAAGATAATCTTTATCAAACTTTCAGAAGTTTTCACAGCTCAAATAATAGCAGGATGCCGCGAATTATGTGCAGATAGTCATGTGCAGGTAGTCATGTGCAGTTAGTCATGTGTAGTTAGTTATGTGCAGGTAGTCATGTGTAGTTAGTTATGTGCAGGTAGTCATGTGTAGTTAGTCATGTGTAGTTAGTTATGTGCAGGTAGTCATGTGTAGTTAGTCATGTGTAGTTAGTTATGTGCAGGTAGTCTGCAGGTAATCATTTGCAGGTAGCCATGTGCAGGTAGTCATGTGCAGGTAGTCATGTGCAGGTAGTCATGTGCAGGTAGTCAGGTGAACGTAGTCAGGTGCAGGGAGTCATGTGCAGGTAGTCTGCAGGTAATCATTTGCAGGTAGCCATGTGCAGGTAGTCATGTGCAGGTAGTCATGTGCAGTTAGTCATGTGCAGGTAGTCTGCAGGTCATGTGCAGGTAGTCTGCAGGTAGTCATGTGCAGGTAGTCTGCGGGTCATGTGCAGGTAGTCTGCAGGTAGTCATGTGCATGTAGTCATGTGCAGTTAGTCATGTGCAGGTAGTCTGCAGGTCATGTGCAGGTAGGCATGTGCAGGTAGTCATGTGCAGGTAGTCTGCAGGTAGTCATGTGAAGGTAGTCTGCAGGTCATGTGCAGGTAGTCATGTGCAGGTAATCATGTGCAGGTAGTCATGTGCAGGTAGTCTGTAGGTAATCATTTGCAGGTAGCCATGTGCAGGTAGTCATGTGCAGGTAGTCATGTGCAGGTAGTCTGCAGGTCATGTGCAGGCAGGCATGTGCAGGTAGTCATGTGCAGGTAGACATGTGCAGGTAGTCATGTGCAGGTAGTCTGCAGGTCATGTGCAGGTAGTCTGCAGGTAGTCATGTGCAGGTAGTCATTTACAGTTAGTCATGTGCAGGTAGTCTCCAGGTCATGTGCAGGTAGTCTGCAGGTAGTCATGTGCAGGTAGTCATGTGCAGTTAGTCATGTGCAGGTAGTCTGCAGGTCATGTGCAGGTAGGCAAGTGCAGGTAGTCATGTGCAGGTAGTCTGCAGGTAGTCATGTGAAGGTAGTCTGCAGGTCATGTGCAGGTAGTCATGTGCAGGTAATCATGTGCAGGTAGTCATTTGCAGTTAGTCATGTGCGGGTAGTCTGCAGGTCATGTGCAGGTAGTCTGCAGGTAGTCATGTGCAGGTAGTCATTTGCAGTTAGTCATGTGCAGGTAGTCTGCAGGTCATGTGCAGGTAGGAATGTGCAGGTAGTCATGTGCAGGTAGACATGTGCAGGTAGTCATGTGAAGGTAGTCTGCAGGTCATGTGCAGGTAGTCTGCAGGTAGTCATGTGCAGGCAGTCATGTGCATGTAGTCATGTGAAGGTAGTCAGGTGCAAGTAGTCATGTGCAGGTAGGCTGCAGGTAGTCATGTGCAGGTAAGCTGCAGTAAGCTCAGTTTCGAAGTAAAAGAAAATGTGGTTGTTTGTTTATCGTGGCTGAAGAGTCAGGTGCAGCCGAGCATGCCAGCTGCAGTCGACAGGGAAATAACTCCCAACTCTGTGTGTTTGATGTCTCGAGAAAAACAATTAGGACACTAGTAAAGGGGAAATAATCAAAGCTGCCAGATTTGCCTACCTGCGCATACATGGTACACGGTCTAATAGAGAATCTCAGAACGCCTCGCATGTGTAGTATTTGAAAAAAAATATAATGGGTATTAGAGGTTAGGAAAGACGGGGAATTATTTATTTCTAAGAAGAGGCAGTTCCTGATTTAGTTTTAAGTTGGAAAGTTCCTCGATGTATTGACATATCTTTCGATTATCAGGTAAAACGAATTAGAGACAGCAATGTCTGAGAAAAGCATACTAAGTAGGCCCAGAGAATGTATGTTATGACACGTTTTGTTTTTGGAGGAAGGATATAAACAATCATGATATTATTTGTACTCAGGTGCTGTGCACCCCCCCCCCCGCCCCCCCCATCCCCCCCCCCCCCCCAAAAAAAATCCTTTTTGTGATTCTGTAAACTGCAGCTGAACAGCAGTTTGTCTCAGTTTACTCAACACTTTAGATGAACTTTAACCTCATAATCAGTTCCCACTTATGTAATTACCCCCCCCCCCCACACACACACAAGAATCTAATTTTAACCAAGCCATTTGCATCTCCAGCACCTCTTAACCCCACCCCCACATCCAGCACATGCCACCAACATCCCTTTCCTTACCCTCCTTCCAACACTTTCCACCCTCACTTGTACCACCCCCAACTTATCCACTCCCACACCCTCCCCTTTCAGCACCTCTTACCCCCCACCTCCAACATCTCTGACTCACCATTCCTCGGACATCCACATCTCACCATGTCTCACCCACATCTCACCACCTCCCACCCACATCTCACCATGTCTCACCCACATCTCACCATGTTTCACCCACATCTCACCACCTCCCACCCACATCTCACCATGTCTCACCCACACCTCACCACCTCCCACCCACATCTCACCACCTCCCACCCACATCTCACCACCTCCGACCCACATCTCACCATGTCTCACCCACATCTCACCACCTCCCACCCACATCTCACCATGTCTCACCCACATCTCACCACCTCCCACCCACATCCCACCACCTCCCACCCACATCTCACCACCTCCCAACCACCTCACCACCTCCCACCCACATCTCACCACATCCCACCCACATCTCACCACCTCCCACCCACATCTCACCACCTCCCACCCACATCTCACCACCTCCCACCCACATCTCACCATGTCTCACCCACATCTCACCACCTCCCACCCACATCCCACCACCTCCCACCCACATCTCACCACATCCCACCCACATCTCACCACCTCCCACCCACATCTCACCACCTCCCACCCACATCTCACTACATCCCACCCACATCTCACCACCTCCCACCCACATCTCACTACCTCCCACCCACATCTCACCATTTCCCACCCACATCTCACCACCTCCCACCCACATCTCACTACCTCCCACCCACATCTCACCACCTCCCACCAACACCTCACCACCTCCCACACACATCTCACCACCTCCCACCCACATCTCACCCCCTCCCACCCACATCTCACCACCTTCCACCCACACCTCACCACCCCAAACCGACATCTCACCACCTCCCACCAACACCTCACCACCTCCCACCCACATCTCACCACCTCCCACCCACATCTCAACACCTCCCACCCACACCTCAAGCACTTCCCACCCCACTTGGCCCACCACCTTCACGACCTCCCATCCACTCTCTCCAAACCTCCCACCAGCTCCCACCCCAAACCCCATCACTCCCCAACACTTCCCCCTTTAATCTATAACAGCATCCCCCCTCCCACACCAAACAAGCTGCCATGACATTTCCGGCCCCACGAGACACCGCCACCGTTTGTTGTTCCAGTGTCGGGCCCCACCTTCTACACGAGACTCTAGACTTCAATCCCCGGCCAGGAAGAGTTTATGATAGGAAGAAGTCGCCGGTACCCGACTGAATTCCTCCTCACTGTGGTGGTTACCTCCCTGTAACCTTACAGCCCTGGGACTGTGCTATGCCATGATTCCAGTCTCATAGTAAACGATTTTTAGATTCCATTTTTGTATTAACTTTACATAGACGCCAGAGTTATATGTCAACAGTTCGAATTGTGGACAGTATTTTAGGCATCTCTCCACGGTGGGGTAGACAATGCCCCCTCCTACAGAGAGTGTTCGACCCCCCCCCCCCATCCCACTTCCCCTGACATGAAGTTAGACAATAATAAATGTATTTAGAAAATATAAACTTTTATGTTCTCGAACCGCCCACCCAGCCCCAAACCCCATAGGCTTCCAGTGCCCACCCATAAAGTCAAATGTCTGAAAGAAACACTACCGATCGACGATCGTTTAACATTAAAAATTATTGAAGAAAATGTACGTGAACCATCGAAATAACTGAATTTCTTTTAAATATTTGATCTACCTCTTCTATATCCTCTAGTTTATGAGCATGCAACAGATAATTGACTAGATCCCCCAGTTATAAATAACTAAGTAAATACCTCTGTAAAAACAGTTCTGCTCATGCGCAAGATGGAGTATAGCATAGTAAGAAACTGCACCGTCCTAATAATTTATTAGTTTTTTTTTTATTCAAACCAAAGCAATTAACGCAAGGACTGATTGATGACGGAACGTTAATTGACGGGGTAAATGAGTGCACGGTGAAGCTGCCAGTTCTGGCTCAGACTCCCCGTACGTTATTTTTGTCTTAAACGTTGATAGAAATGCAACTCAGTTATTTTCATAGCTTCTTCTTCTCAATCTTCTTCGTTCTTTATTGTAATATTAGAAGGGATTTCCACCAACACAATGCGGGTCAACATGTTATGAGCCAAATAGGCCGATGATTTCTGACTGCTTCTCTTGTCGGATTTGTTACCATAGACTGCAAGGCATCAATTATTTGCATTTGGGTTTTTTCTCCTGGGGTCGTCCGTAAATGACGTCACACTCGTAAGGGGGGGGGGGGGGTCCGTAATTTTGTGACGGTGTGTGATGAGGGGGAAGGGGGTGGGGGTCAGATGGTGTGACGTCACTTTTTTGCATCATAAAAAAGCAATGTTAGAAAACGAGTTTTAGCCGTTATTTCGCGTTTTAAAAAAGAGTTTTAATAAATTTTAATGGGAATTGATCAAAATACTCTATGTTGACATAGTTCTGATAAGATTTTGGAAAAATATCGATGTTTTAAGAAAAATGCAACAGCAATTTTGAGGGGGTTGTAGGCTGAGGTGTGACGTCATTTTAGGGAGGGGTTCTGGCTTTTTGTGACGACGTGTGACGGAGGGGATGGGGGAGGTAAAAATCGTCCAAAAAAGCGTGACGTCATTTATGGATGACCCCCTAGATGGGTTGCTGTTCCCAACTATCGCACCTTATCTGCCCGTGGGTTCTGGACTGTATGGTTTAGCAAATATAACCTTTAAGGCTCGACAATAGCATTTTAATAAAAATCTGCATACGGGCTATAATTGAATCTACATAGTTTAGTTTCATCTACACTGTTAAATATACATAGCTTAATCTATATAGTTTATTCTTCATATTTTATAATTAGCGATAATTTTCTAACTTCGTATTTAAATAAAATAGAACTTATATTTCCAGATTCCATAAATACACTTTCCCTTTAAATCTTTTTCCACATTCTGAATTTTGTTTCGTTTCTAAAAACAAAATTAGCGTGGTAAGCGAACTCACATAGGTGGCGCTCTGTTGATATATGAATGTAGGTATATTTATAGAGGCGGCTAAGCTAAGGTACGCCCCTGGCACGGAGACCTAGCTTACAGCTACGCCGATGTTGAAACCACAGTATCTCAACTCATTTCGTCTCCTCTACCCTAACCCAAAAAAATGTTGGAAAAATTAGATTTTTTTTCTCGCTTGCAAAATTGGCAACTCATATTATTAGCAAACAAGCCAAAGCTAATTGTTGTAGAGGTGGGAAGATGCAGGAGCTGCAACGTTAAAAGAGGTGGCTGGGTACTGATTCATCTTGTGTTTTGAAGAAACGAAAAGGGAAATAACTCTAGCTATATAAAATTCTTTACAAAACAGATCATTGCCAAAGCTGAACTTTATGTGTGTTTTTTTTTTAACGCTCAGACATCTCTCTCCTTTTGGTTAAGAGATTTTTATTTTTATTCTAGGTTTAAATATTATAAGAACTTAGACTTCAAGTCGTTTAAATTCTTATTAGGTAGGAGATTTAAACGTTTTGCGACGGCATCTTATTTACTTTGTTGACTGTTAAGTTCATGACTAATAAGAAACACCACATGCAGAGGCGTAGTGAGGGGGAGGGCGGAGGTGCGGACCGTACCGGGTGACACCATTTAGGGGGATGACACCAAGGCAAAACATAGCAAAATAGATAGAGAAAAATTTGAGGGAGGGGGTGAAAATCGAAAGATTGAGGGGGGGGGTGCAAATCGAAAGTTTGAAGGGGGTGCAAATCGAAAGTTTGAGGGGAGGGGGTGCAAATCGAAAATTTGAAAGTTTGTTCCCGGAAAGGGTCGCTTCGCCTCTGGGGGGGGGGGGGGGGGGGAATGGTGACACCATTAAGTGCCGCACCGGGTGACACCCGACCTCGCTACGCCGCTGACCACATGTACAAATTTTGTTAAAGATAAGCAGTGTTAGATTGTTAGATAACTGCACGCAAAAAGTACTGAGATTTCCGTTAATTTACTTTATATTCATTTATTTTAAACCATTGTGATTTTCAACACGTAACGAGAAACCTAGGCCCAAATGAAAATCACACACCAACTTAAATTAAAGAAAATATAAAGACCTAAGCGTTTGCGTTTGTTTTAAAATACTTAGTTCTTGTATAAAAAAAGATGCCCAGTCTGTTTGTTATAATTATCCATGCAGTAATCTAAAAAAATATTGTTAAAAGTGCGTTATAGAAAGTTGTTTCGTATTGTTGTATGATAAGTTGTTTCATATTGTTGTATGATAAGTTTTTTTCATATTGTTGTATAATAAGTTTTTTGATATTGTTGTATGATAACTGAGAACACTTACGTGTCAGCCATTACTTTTGTTTCAAGATCACAGAACTTGTTCCCTTAATTGTGTCCAGAAAATCAACACATTGTATCCCCCTTGTAGAAGTAATATGCCTATGGAGACAAAAAAAAAACAGGCGTCAATTAAGCTTTTATTTTGATTACTTTGATTATAATAAGTTAAAAAAGGTAAGTACAGTTGGAACAAAACTCGCACTTTTTATATAACACCCCCCCCCCCCCTCCCCATCAACTTCTGCGTTTTTCCGCCCAAGAAAATGAGATTTGCCAAATCAGATTTTGCACAGTTTTCGCTGGTATTGTTTTCTGTCTCCTGTCTACCGATGTACGTCACATTGTTCCTATTAATCCTTAATTATTGAAATTAAATAATTTCGTTTACCACGGACATCTTTTTAAAAAAGGATTAGCACTGTTAATACAGATTAATTATAGCAATACCATTATTTTTTTTTCGAAACATTTAAAAAATGATGTTAAAGATTTTTGAACGACGAAAGCTATAGACCTAAGTACATTTCTCTTACATTAAAACATACTTTGAAGACTATTTACGAATTTCTAACCCGATAAAAATCCCTGCTAAAATAAACGAAACAATTACACATCCAAATATACCGCTGTATCAGCCAGCTATCACGCGCCTCGCGGTAAACAGCTCGCGCTAACACGCACGCTCATCTTACCTGTGTACACAGTCGCGCTCACGTTTTGCACCAACAGCAAACTATGCGCCTCGCACCTGTAGACACCTACACTATTGGCGACCGATTCAAATCTGTGTGATGGTTCTCAAATGGGGGAACCATAAATCTTGCAGGTAATAACTTGAGACAGATATAAATAGCAGCGGGACGGCGGTGTCGAATGGTAGAGCGTTGGGCTACTGTACCGAACGTCTCGAGTTCGGATCTTGGTTCGTACTTACAACTGTAGGAAGTACCTAGGCCATCCACTCCTGATGGTACCTGACCACCAACCCATCAAATAATGCGGAGGTCGAGAAACGTATGAAATCTAATGGAACGTTAGGTTAAGAGAGGTATATTTGGTTTTTAGTAACATGACAGATTCATTCACGATATTCTATTCCAACTTCCGATTTTCTCTACGTCTGGGTTAAGGTGTGGTTGGGTTCAAATTTCCCACAACAACTAGTTCATTAGTAAAACCCTAGGATACTTTAAAAAAATTGCAACCATACTTTTAATGTCTAGCTTTGCTTCAAACATTTGAAACACTTCACATAATCTGGACAATATCCCATAGCTTAGTACATCCTTTTTCCAATTTCCATATTCCAAATTCACTTCCTACATTCCATCTTTACCACGCCATTTCCTATAGTCCACCATATAAACTCTACTATATACAACTCTACTTTCAGTAGTTAAGCCTTTACCAGTAGTCCAACGCTACTTTCTACCTTCCAACTTTTCAACCCACTTTTCCTTGTCCAAGCCCCTTCCCATAGTCCACCACATTCATCAACCTACAGACTTACTACCAGAGGTTAAGTCTCTACCCATAATCCAACCCTACTTCTAACAGTTACACCCTTACCATCAGTCCAACTTAGAGTTTCTTCCAGCTTCTCATCAGGAAGCCCCCCCCCCCCCCCCGCCCGAAGAAAGTCTACCGCCCCCCCCCCCCCCTCTCCCTCTTGAACGAAAAGGATTTTATATAGAAAACATATACTTTTACCAGTGTCTGCCGCCACCCCCCCCCCCCCCCCCCCCCCACTGAAAAATTTAGTCCGCCGAGAAAAAAGTCTGAAAGAAACACTTTTCCAATTATAAATCTAGTAGTAAAACCCTAACTCGCAGCCCAAACCCTCCACCCACAGTCAAGCCAAACTTCCCATAATCCAGCTCCACAGCTCCCATGACACACCCAACAGGGCTTACTAATTAGCGTGTTTAACACACACTTCCCTGCCTCCATACTGAAACGTTTTCATGATAAATAAGCTAGAATAACTTCAAAAAAATATTTTAAGAAGCATTCACCTGCGCCAGAAATGTAAGTGTTTGGCACCAAGTCCGGACAACTTGAAACATTTTTTTTTCAGTATTATTTTAGGATAATAGCATTCTCCATTTTAAATCCGTTTTCATATCAATTGACTAGATTACTTATCAGCAAGTAGTTTTTTTTTTTGTTTATGCGTATTTACATATATATATATATATATATATATATATATATATATATATATATATATATATATATATATATATATATATATATATATATATATATATATATATATATATATATATTAGTATTATATATATATATATATATATATATATATATATATATATATATATATATATATATATATATATATATATATATATATATATATATATATATATATATGCATATATGCACTATCTCCTTTTCATAGATGAACACACTAAGTTCTAATCGCTGTAGCCTAGTGTGTAATACGCAGGTAAGCTCCTGTTATGTAAAAGTACACATGTAAACTCCTGTTATATAAACTCTTGCTGCCAACACTCAATACCGTGATTTCCTGGTTTACCGGTAAAAAAAAATGGCATTAGAAAAAATAAACAATCATAATTAACCGATGCCTTCAAACGATGAGCAGGGATTCTCCTGAAACGATATTGCAGATAAATCGACATTTTCCCCACTTCTTTTATTTGCGGAAAGAAATATCTGCCATTAGACCTTAAAAGCAGACAGATGTTTGTTATTAACGATAATTGGCTATGCTTGGGTGGATATTTTTTTTTAATCCGCGGGAAAAGATTTACTTCACTCGCATGTTGGAAAATGTAATTAAGTATTCATTGGAATGGTTTTTATACCTTGTGTGTAGATCTAGCTTCAAATATGAAACTATAAGCGTATAGAAAATGGTAATGCCAAAAAAAAAAAAAACTTTACTACGTGTCAGTGTCATTAGCACGATAGAGTAGTAGGCTCTATTTGGTGGGGGAGGGGAGGTGGACGGCAGTAGCGTAGCGAGGGAGGGGGGCGGGGGACATATGTCCCCGGGCGCCGACCATAGGGGCGCCAAAATGGGTTTGAAAAATAAATTGAAAGGTTGAGGGGGGGTGCAAATCGAAATCTCGAGGGGGGGTGCAAATCGAAAGTTTGAGGGGGGGAGGTGCAAATCGAAATCTCGAGGGGGGGGGGGGTTGCAAATCAAAAGTTCGAGGGGGGGATGCAAGTCGAAAAGTTTGTCCCCGGGCGCCGGGAAGGGTCGCTACGCGTCTGGTGGACGGGGGGATTCTTTTATTGGTAGGCCGCAACTTTCAAGTTTTGTTTTCAGAGTTTCTTCGAGGCATATCTAACCCCTTGAAACGAAATGGAATTTATATAGAAAATATATAATTTCACCAGTGTCCTCCCCCCTCCTCCGAAAATATCAAGCGCCCCCCCCCCCCCTCCTCCCCCCCCCCCCCCCCCCCACGGAGAAGTCTGAAAGAAACACTGTTTGTTTCCTAGAAAATTCAGCTTTGTAGAAAAGTGTAGAACCCTTTTAAAAGTACAATTATTTTACTCTAGCTCCTGCCCCGCCAGTGAAAAGTGAAAGTAAAGAGCGCATGTCGTCATCACCTGCATGGAGAAAGGTAAAGGTTATGTCATGTTTACCATTGACACAACAACACAGACAAGTGCCAGAGTTGGCAGATGCACAACAGAACCAGGTGGGAATTTTCGGCAGCTTTAATTTCGGCTAAATCTATTTATACTATTTTCCCCGTGATTTTGCTCTAGATCTTATAATATAAGATAATTTTTAGCGCAATTTCCATTCTGGAGAATTGCGTTTATTAACTCGTCATTTCTGGGAATGGATGGATGAATGAATGAATGTATGGATGTATGAATGTGTGTCCGGGCTTTAAGTCGTATCTCCTCCTCAACGAAGCAATATCGATGACTAGTTACAAAAGCAATTATGTTAAGCAAGTTACGAGAATGAACATAGGCCATAAAAATTCCGGGTTTCTTTCATGGATTTCCAGGAAAAGTCGAAAAAATGCAGTTTTTGGCCCATATCTCGGCAACCAGACCACTTAGCGACTTGAAACATGTACCAATCGATTCCTGCCATAATTTAGAACAATATTGATTTTATATTGCCGAAGAAAGTTTTCAAAAATATCCTTTCGTTCGGTCACAAATTTTAAAATTACATAAACACCTACAAACCGATATTTCTTCTAGCTTGAACGCACCCCAGCATTATACGTCAGAGCTATTTTTAGATAACATAAGGAAATTGCGCATAAATGTCACTAGACTTTTTTAATTAACTTGTTTATTTTAAACACACAACATAATATTTTTAATAACGAAAAAAAAAACTTTTTTAAACATTCTAAATACGACGACAGTAAAGAGTACCAATGTGCAAGGGAAACAACTTTCCATAGTTATAGTTGCTAGCAACAAGATGGCGGATAAGCTTTAAGTTTTTTTACACACCGCGAAATTTTGGCAAACTAGAATTTGCATTCTTAAAACAAACATTTTTCATACTAATGGCAGCTTCCTTACGTGGGCTCAGCCCTGAACTCAAGGAATACCTGAGAGTTAATCGTCTTCCAGATATATATGAGGTAATGCTTTATGATTTAATTTAATAATTTGTAAATCAAAATTAACAAATTAGGTAAAATCACGATATAGCGTCGGAAATTATTGGGTAATGTTCGTTGAGTTTCGGTAACATTCGTTACTGTAAACCATAGTTTATTTGACCGTTGAAAGAAAAATAAAGTCAAGTGCATTAAATTAATGTTTTAACTTAATTTAATGTTTAACTGACAAAAAAATTAGCAACAATTAGACTAGTAAATCTAAATATTATTAATGAAGTCGAGTGTAGTAATTAATGTTTTTTTTTTAAGAAACAGAAAAAACCTGCAGAAGATTTGCGACAACCAGCTCTAGTTCTGTTAGTAAATAAGACGATTAGACTTAGACTTAGATTTTCTAAAGTTAAAAGTAGTAAGAATAACTAGAATAATGTTTAGTAGCAGCAATAATTAGCACATACACTTAAAATAATTAGAAATACAAAATAATTAGCAAAACAGTATTTAAATTGCAACTAAAATCAATCCTTGCACATTTTTCAACATTATGTATTAAAAATAATATGGCGGCAAATAAATGATGGTTTACAGTATTTCCAGTGCTTTCCGGAACGGCTCGACAGACTACTCCATGGTTTTACTGTTTTTTACTGCTGTAAAGTTCCGGAATAAAAACCGACGCTATATCGTGATTTTACCCAAAATTAGTTAAATTATAATTAAATTTAAAGGTAATCTATCGTTTTAGGTACGTAAAATCGCCCGCGACTAGTAATGTGAAAAACAGGTGACTCCTTAAATTTTAGTAATTATTTCACATTTTGAGGAGGATTTATGTTTTGAAAAATACAAAAATGTTCCCTTGTTTCATTTATGTACCTGTTTTTAAACAATTGAATTAAAACTTTTCAGTAATAAATGAAGACTAGCGATGTTTCCAACCAGAGGCGTGCAGACCTATGTAGATGCCCGGGGCAAACTCAAGCGGAAGATGCCCCCATATATATATATATATATATATATATATATATATATATATATATATATATATATATATATATATATATATATATATATAAAGCTTAGTTACAAAAGAAACAAATAAGTTGTGTTGGACGTTAATAAGCATAGAAAATCATTTATTTAAAAAATTGTACTTATCTTAATTAAGATGAAAATGTTGACTACAGCCAGCTAACAATTGTGGGACGTGTCGTGGTGGGGAGGGGGGGGGGGGGCTGTGATGCACTACAAAAGAGTCTCATCCGGTTTTGTATTACCACCCGGGACCGCAGGGACAAAAACATTCTCCGTGTCTACAATTAGGGCGTCAGACACGCCTTTATTTATGGGATGTTTCTCTCTTGGCCTGCTTAGGAATTCCTATAGTGTAACTAATACATGTGAGAGTGTGCATTGAACTAGAGATGTTTCAGATTTTGTTCTCTAAACCACTTGGTCAAAACGTTAACTCTTTAAAGAGATGGGTGATGCTAGATACTCTCAAACTATCTTAAACTTGAATATAACAGAAGTGTAACTTGTTTGGCTAAAGCTGCCAGCCCTAAAAAAACAACACTTCTACATCGGAATGTGTTTAAAAATTCACTATGCTATGTCAGACCCTCCCCACAACTTGGACGCGTTTTCACAAATTTAACACCCAGGTAACGCCTGTCTAGTTCAGGTGGGGGATAATCCACTAACGGCTTCCATAGCCTAAAACCCACAGAGCATTCCCACATTTCATTACATCATTATGGGCTCAATAACTCTATAGATAGCTCTACTATTAACTGAAATAAAACTGGCTCTGTATGTGCCCCCAATTACTTTAAAGAAAGCTCTACTCAGAGTTAAAATACTTTAACTTTAACACTACTTAAAGCATGCTCCTCCTATTTGTAAAAATCAATACGGGCACAATTATTCTGAATGATATCATTACAATGTATCGTAAACAATATGTTGATTCGTATTCTTGAGATTGTCGCTACAGTGTATCAAAAACAATATGGGCATTCTTATTCTTAAGTATGCTTATATAATGCAGGAAAATCAATATATACTAAAGGCTGCCAGTGGCGTAGCTACCGTAAAGCTATAGTAAGCAAGGCATAGGGGCCCAAGGCAAATAGGGGTAATTTTCCTTCTTTTAAAAAGTCAAAACTTTTACATTGGAATTTTGATATTTATTTTATATAAATAATTTTAAAAAAATGAAATCTTTTTTTTTTCTACTTTAGGAATAATTTAATTTCAAAAAGGCCCCAAGTCCTTTCTTAGTGTACAGGCAGTGGCATTCAGTGTGGGGGAGGTCGGACGACTAACATTATTAACATTGTTAATTTTTGCACAGGGGCCAAAAATCCTAGTTACGCCACTGAAGGCTGCCCATACAATTTAACAAAAAAAGTTTGGTCGTTATTACACTACAAATGGCCATATATTTCACCAAAGAAGCCCCTAAAATTTATAATAATAATATGGGCATAATTACCCTTTGGATGCCCTTAAAATGGATCATTATGAAGAAGTACATTAAAAAAAAGCTTTAGAGATGCCCCCAATGTTAACAACGATGATTGGTGTAATTACTGTTGCATGCCCTTCGAGTGTGTTACATGAATATAAGCATAATTACTTTCAAGATGCCCCTACAATATATAAAATGAAGATGGGCATACTTAATGTATGGATGCCTTTAAAATGTATTATAAAGTGAAGTGGGCATATTACTAAATGCTCATAAAATATATTATAATGAATATACGAATAATTACTTTAAAGATGCCCCTACAGTGTATAAAAATAAATATAATTTAATTACTCGACGGATGTCCTTGAAAATGAGTATAACGAAGTACTCTAAACGATGCCCCTACAATATACTAAATAAATATCACACACATTTATTAAGGGAATATCATTGACTTCCTTCCCTGATATATAAGTCCCCGTCCACCCCCCCCCCCCCCCCTCTGCACGCCACTGTTTCCAACAGATGCAACCATGCTCATTTACTAAAGCAGCCATCTTATTTTTTTTTATAGTAAACTTATAGCGCAAGATTCATGGGAAGCCACTCTAACTTACAGATGGCCGCTTTTTATATAGCAAATCCTGCTCGCAAACACTGCTGTTTAAAGATAATTTCTTGCCTATATTAATATATTTAGCCATTGATTTAGATTTGTTATTCATTTATCTACAGGGGCCTAATATTTGACACAAATATTTCACAACATACTTCTATTAGGCCTTAAGCCTTGACAATGGGTAAATTTTTTGTACATTACTAGCTGCGGGCGATTTTAGCCATTGATTTAGATTTGTTATTCATTTATCTACAGGGGCCTGATATTTGACACAAATATTTCACAACATACTTCTATTAGGCCTTAAGCCTTGACAATGGGTAAATTTTTTGTACATTACTAGCCGCGGGCGATTTTACGTACCTAAAACGATAGATTACCAATTTAAATTACGCTGAAGCAGACTGTCACTACTAGTACTAGTACTACACTAGGCCTAAGCAATTTGTTAATAAATTATTAACAAATTGTTAACTTAGTAATACATTAATAAATATATTATCCATTTATGTGTAATAAAGTGGAAGTGAAACTGTGTTCCTGTCAAGTGATTTCTAATTTGTCTCATCAGATAGTTTGTGTTGATGAATCTATGTTATTTTATGTATGTCGTACTTTTCCTGCTGCTAGGAAGTTCAGACCATGGTTTATTTAATTTTTATTGAGACCTAACTCAGGCCTAACTGCCTTAAAATTTTAAAGGTACTGTCATTCTATATCCAGGCGTTCTTATTAAATAACCTAACAAAAACAATATTTAGTTAGTTTGTCCTACTTATTAGTGTTTACTTCTTCCATTTTAATGCTTGCAGCAATTTTTAAGCTGTGATAATGTTATTAATATTAGTAGGCTATCAATATTATTGTTCAAATTGCAAATATATTTTTACAGGCTTTGCTGTCAGGTTTAAGCATCATGTGTCCACAAGACTATCTAACTTTTATCTTAGAGAAGTTGATGTACATCAAAGAGCATGGCTTAGACTGCTTGCACTGGTAAATATTTTTTAATACAGTAACCACATAGCATGAATTTTTTTCTGCCCAATATTTTGGACAAATTTTACTGCACCCAAATTCCAACATGCTGATGATTAATATGAACTTTGATGGCGTCTTAAATTTGTATACACTTTATTTATTTTGTATTGTTATAATGTAGCCACACTGCCACAAATCTTAATAGATTATTTCAAGTCCAATAATTCTGATTTTCCAACTTTTACCTCACTGGAAATTTGTCGATGAGTGAACTGTATTTTATATTGTGTCGATGGTTGAACAACTTAATCTTTCAGGAATAATTTTAATCTAGACCTATATCTAGATTTACAAATATATAAGCCTTCAATACTTGTGGTTAATCTATAGGGCCTACTTGTTTAGTTGAAAATGTTTCTCTTTGCACTGAAACAAAAATATGTCTCAGAAAATGTGGGTAGGCATTTTACCATCTGGTATTTTACCAAGACCCCAAAATTTAAACTTGAGTGACATAACTAAATTTAGATATAGGAAATATCCCTAGTGTCTCATAACATAAAATACTAAAATATTTAGAGAGATACATCAGAGAGTACAACAGTCATTCCAAAATTTCTGATTCAGAACGGTACTCAGAACTAGAGCTCATTTTCTTTTTCTTTTAAAATAGTTTTTTTTTTAAATGCATTAAATCTAAATTAGTGTTATTTATTCTATATAATAGTTTCGCTGTCTGTCTATGTATCTATCTATCTATCTATCTATGTATCTGACAAGAACGCTATAGAGAAAACACAAGCAATTTAAAAACATGCATAGTGAAACGAAAACGAAAATATGACGTCGTATTGAGCATAGAGTAGAAAATAATCTCAAGCCGGAGAATGCACACAGTAATATGACGTCATTGATTCTCGAGTAAACATTGAATAAAAAGGCAATTTTGTCTAATCTAAGTGGTTTGCGTGAAGAGTTTCTTTCATACAATTCTTCGGGTAGGGGCGAAGCCCCACCCTCGCGAAAGAACGTCTAAGCCGCCCCCCCCCCGCCCCCCCCCCCACTCAAAAGAAATTTCTTCATCGATACTCTATAATAAAAATTACCGCCTAATTAATGTGTCTAATCTTAAAAGTGGTTTGCTTGCAGTTTCTTTCATGCAATTCTTCGTGTAGTGGCTAAGCGTGACACCAGTGTTTCTTTCAGACTTTTTCCTCCCCGGAGAGGGGAACTTTTTCTAATCTAAAAAGTGTTTAGCGTGCACAGTTTTTTCTCTTCGCCGCCCAGGTTCTTTCTTTAATTTGTATGATCTACAAATGCGACCAGTGTTTCTTTCAAACTTTTTCCTCCCCGGCGAGGGGTGGGGGTACTTGAATTTTTGGGGGGCAGGGATAAAATTTTCTGGGAGGGGCGGACACTGGAAAAAAATATATAATTATATTTCGTTGAATGGGACGGTAGACATGTTTTGGAGTGTGTGTGGGGGCGGTGGGGAGAGCCCCCTACTCCCAAGTAGAGTTGCCTGAAAGAAACTCTAAATGCGACTTTTGTCATTGAGATTAGGTGCATGGTTTAGGGATATGCCTATGACTATATTTTGTATAAATTAAAGTACCAATTCTGGTTAAAAATCCGTTTTCGGTTAAATTGAATTAAGGTGGTGATTTTGGTTTTGGTTTTAGTTTAGAGAAAATAGACAACACTATCTACCTAGCGCCCGTTGTATCCTTCCTCAACGGGCCATTTTTCTCGTAATGATAGAGTTTATCTAGATTTGGGGTTAAAGTACAGCTAAGGTCAAGGTTAGGATAGGGTTATGGCGAGGGGTATTGTTTACATGTGCAACATAATAAAATTTAAGGTAATAATATAAAAAATGTCATGTGACCTAGATTTAAGCAGGTTATGCAAAGTGAGAGAATTTCTACTGACAATTGTCATTGTTCTGCAATCTAAATAATCATTTTTATTCTCTAGTTTCTATACTATTTACCAATAGTCATAGATTGAACAACTTAAATATGGTGTAATTTTGGCTAGGCTTGTAATTATTACAGTGGCTACAACCAATATATTTTGTCATTCCTCATTGCAAAATAAATCTCGAATAATGATATATTTAGCTAACATGTTTGGTTAAAAAACAATAAATCTTAACCCATTTTTTGACATACTTAACCTGATCTTAAAAACAATTTTAGATACAAAATTTAATTTAACCTGCACTTTTTGTGTTTATAAATTTCAGGGATATGTTCATTGATGAAGCCATGAAACCACCTCGAAGGTTTATTACTGACAGCAATCTCGACATGATCTTCAATTTTGAAGATTGGCTTTTGGTAATAGTTTCTGAAATATCAATTATGTGCTCCACTTTTGTGTTAAAATCAGTTAAAGCATATTTAACATGCCATTATATCTTGAGAAGCAAAAGTTAGCTTATTTTGTAAACTTGGATACACATTTTCAAATTTTTTCAGCCAACACCAGAGATGTATACAGCTGCTTATAACCACTACAATAATAAACTAAAAGAAATGTGTTTCTGGTTAGTGATATTGTTTTATGTTTTTTTTACCCATTACACCAGTATATTTTATGATAATTAATTTTAGATTTAATCTACATGTTACCATTTTTTTTTCTCTATTTTCTAAATTTTAAAAATGATGTAGCTCCATAACATTTAGCCACCAAGTCGTCAAAGACTGAATGAAACAAATACTAAAATAGTTCCAATATTGATAACTATTAATTTACTGCACCAAGCATCACTTGTAAAGCTAATTGAAATTTGTTAGCAAACTGAGTATGTATGACACAGTATAAGCAAATCGGCACTGTATTTGAGTTTTCTGCATCTTATATTTTGCAAACTTTTAGTGGTTTTGTTCAGTTTTTTGGTGTGTTTTATAATTTCTGATAGCTTTTAATTGGTACCTGCAGTGATAGAATATCTGTATTTGAAAGCATTTTTTTAAATCATAAAATGTTTCTGAAGTAAGCAATTTTAAAATCAACAATTTTTTTAAATTTTAATATTGTGATTTGTGATGTCTTTTATCATCACTTATCATAATATTAACTACAAAATACTTAATTATACTACTAGATTTTGTTTTAAAATGTAACATTTTCATTGAGATCAACTGAACCATAAGAAATTATAAATTATAAATTTTCAAATGTAAGTAATTGTTTTTTGCCTTTAGTGCGATACTCCAAAACCATTTGCTGAGAAAGAAGAAAGAGAAAGAACTGCAGGAAAAAATCAAGAGAGCAGTCAAACATCACTCCAACCATTTGTTAAATGTCCACCTACAAATTTGGAAGGCATGTATTTTATTTTATTACAGTGATTATTTTTATTATTTGTTTCATTTCTATCATGATTATTAGTTGTCACGTTATTTGAAATTTTTACATTAAAAAAAATTCAATTTGCATTGCTACATTTATTTTGACACTATAATCATTAGAACATGTGTACATGGATCTGAACCTCTACAATTTTCCTCACTTTCTTAAACTTACATTTCTTTTTCAGGCTTGGGTAAAATATAGGTTGGGGAGACAAGCAAGTAAGTAGAGTTGTCTCTCTTTCATAAGTTTAACTGTGATGCTAATGAGGAAGCATTAGCATAAGATTAGCATGAGGGTTACATTTAAAATATTCAATCTAATTATCATAAACAAAACAGTTCTTTTGATTTACATCAAATTATATTGATCTAAATTCATTAACTCAGCTTAACACTCATTTTAATTTTACATTATCTTGATTGTTCTATTTTTAAACATAGTTTGTATGTTCAGTGTCGTTTCAGAAGCTACAGCATGTTTTTAATGTGTCGATGGGGCGTGTCATATTTCAGGCCTGGCACAAGCACACCCTAGAAGCCAGAAAACAAAGAGAATATTTCGAGGTAAATGTGTTTTAAGACCGTAGCAACCGTCATTACCTGATTTATTTTTTTAGAATTATAACATAAGGATATATAATTTGATTTGTACATTTATTACATTTCAATATGGGACAACACTTTTTTTTAACTGTTCCAGATTTTTATCAATCTTAAATCCTTATTTATTATTTTTATAGACATCCTAGCTTAAAGAAAATGTAGAAATAATGTTTTTAGATGTGATATTAAAAGGCTTGGCTGGTTAAAATTTTGGTAGCTATTACTTTTAAAATAAAAATAATTTATAATAGCCGTAGGTGGTATTTCAAATTAATTTTATGTTTTCTTAATTTGTACCTGGCTGTTTCTAAAATAATGTCTTTAACAAAAATTTATAATTTAATAGCATGTCATGGTTTTGGGTAATTCTAGATGGAAGATTTAAATATTTCACTTAAAGAATGCATCTCACTTGAGTGCTGTTGACTTGTAAATGTCTGATTATTCTGGATTTTTGCATGAAATCCATTTCAAGTTAACTAAGAATGTTCACTGACTTCCTTATGATTTAATTATATTTTAAGGTTTTTTAAGATTTGTAAAATTCAATTGATTTTTATAAAAACTCACATATCACAGAATGCATTCAGAGCAATGTTTAATAAAAAGAAAACTCAATCCCAAGAAAATTTAATTACCTCTACTAGACAAGATTATACTGTCCCTGATCTAGAGGATGCTTCACCATTAAACCATTGCAGCGTATGCCCTTTTATGTAGAGTTAGGATATACAGGGCTAATTTTTCTATTAGAAAGATAGACAAAACAGTTGCCAGTTATTCTAAAGTATTTTTTAACTAGCAGTTTAAATACTTTAAAACTTCAATCATAGATCTATGCACTAGCTGTTACTAATAGACACTTGCACATGACAATTAAAGGAAGCACTTTTTAACTACAAATTTTGTTTCATTGCTTCATGAAGTTTACTTTTTTTTTTTACTTTTGTCACCATGTAATTGGGCAGTGGTTCCCAAACAGGGAAGGGTGGATCCTTCATACACACACGCACATGCAAGCATGCTGGCATGCACACAAAATCACACATATACGTGAGAATTACAAATTTTGTATATATATTATTATACATAAATGATTAAAAAATGTTCTTTATTATCAACTGAAAAGTGATGGATAATAAACAAAAAAGCCTATAGAAAAAACATTATCCATTATTTATTTTTTTACATGAGGTGGTAAAAAACTTTTTTTGGAACTTACGATTACCAGTACAACATCACAACCAGTTTGGGAACCACTGAAAAAATTCACTGCTAGATGCATGCAAACTACTATACTTGACTTTTAAATTTATTTATGGAATGATTTATTTTACAAGCAATTTTAAAATAAATTTCCTTTTCGCAATGTCTTCCTGTTAACTCTACCAGAAACTGAAGGTAACCAAGAGTTGGCCCTGTGTGATGGCTGTATTGATTCTAAATTAATCCTTTTCTAACCAAACTTCCCAGCATTCTTGTTTTGTTTAACATTTTTAATAAACGAACTGTAAACTAATAATTGTGCACATTGCAGCATGAACTACAGTTATTTCAAATGTATTAAAAATTTATATGCATGTAATATGTATAACTAAATGACTTAAATTCGTTGTATAAAATAAGAAAAAGGCATGCACAACTTAAATGTTTTAAAATAAGTTTAACTTCATTGCGATTAAACAGTTATGAACATTTTAATTAACCCACTAAGATAATCTTTGCTTAGAATTTTGCTTTTGTTGTTTTTTTCAAATGCTTGATTTTTTCCTGATCTAATCTAGTCAAAAAAATAATTTAAATAGCAAATTTAAATAACAAATAGTCTGAAAGATAAAGATGAATAATGACAAACTACCTATTGCTGTGTCAAAGTTGATAATAATTTAAATTATTATGATACAAATCCTACATGAGACATTTTACTTTTTAAAATTTAGTTTTATTTGTAGTCAGAATTTTTATTGGCAATTGAATTAAAAGTATACAATTTATTTCTATAATTTTATAAATTAGATGTGAAGTGAAAAGCATTACTTTAACTATGGTAGCATGATATGTGAGTACCCAACATAGTGGCTGTTGTTCTGTGAATTTTTTCACTGACAAAGAAATAATTATTAATTGGATTTATATCTTTGTAAAAAAATTTAAACAATTAAAGCCTACATGGTAATTCAGTAGCTTGTTAAGTAATTTAAAAATACTTATAGTTTTAAATGAATTAATAAAATAAATTAAAATATTTTATAGTTGTGTTTTGAAATTGCAATATTAAATAGTTTAGGTTAGTAAGAAGTAAGTTTTAGAAAAAAATTAATTGCTTATTTTTTTATTTAAATTGCATTCTGATTAGAAGCACAGGACTGTCATGAAATTTTAACTAATACTTTCTTCTCATATTATTTTCTTTTAAAATTGCTATATTTTAAGTCCTGTCTCTGTTTTAAGCCTCTATTTATGAAAGTTTTGAAAATTTAAGTGTAGAATAAAAAATTTGGCATTGTTTATTTGTCATATTCACAGAAGTTTGGTTTCAGGGCAATAGGTTGTACATTTATTTAAGTGTTTAAAATTTATGTTTTAAAAACATTCATTTGATGTTAAAAAAAAGAAAGATATTTTCTTGATCTAATTACAATTTACTACTTTATGATAATCTTAATGAGATAAAAAGCTATATATAGTTTATATTTAAAAGTGTATTTTAAGTTTAGTTATTAGGTTAACTACTTTAATTTCTAAAGTAAAGGGTGTTTTTTTGTATAGTTTTTACTGGAGTTTTATACCACTCTAATTCTAAAATGTGTAAAACAATAAATACTTTACAATCTTACATAACTAGAGATTGGAAAGGGGAGAGAACATGGAAGATGATGATCTTTTTGGACAAGGAACTGGTGAAGCCAGGGACAGTGTCTCCACACTGCCATGGAAAATTGCCATACAGGTTTCATTTTTTTTTACCACTATTTGAGTATTAGATAAGATAATTGTGACATTGACATTAATAGGTTTGAATTACAATTTTTATTGTGCTGAATTTTAATTTTTTATAAGCTTTTATTTAGTCTTTTTGTGGGTTGCAGAAATATTGTAATTTAATTTTAATCCATTTCTAATGCAGTGATTGTGTTCACACTTTCCACTTTAGATATTTAGTTACTTGGATGTGGCAGATTTAGCACACTGTGCATGTGTGTGTCGCTTTTGGAAAGTTCTGACACAAGCCAATCTTTTGTGGAGTAAGGTAAGTATGTTGTTTATTCTCTATAATAATGAACACACTACCCCATAATCTCTATATCAATTTAATAAACACTGAATAAAATATGTTTGTTTAATCTACAGATAAACTTTTCTGTTGTGAAAAATAGGTAAATATTTATTTAACTTTTTTCATTTAACTTATTTTTTAAATAATTATTTTTTACAGTTTTGTTGTCATAATGTAATTCACCGCTTATTATAATTAGAGTTTGGTTTTATTAAAAATACTATGATCGTAAAAAAAAGGTTAAGTTGAACATTTGTTTATTTACATGATAACTTTTTAAACTATTTTTACAGACTTACCAAGGGGTAATTTCACATTAAAATATAACTCAAATTCTATGCTTTTCTCAAACATATAACTCTCTGTATAAGCATATTCAATAGATTATTTTCATTGGTATATCAAATTATTACTTAAATCAGTATTTTTTAAAATTTACTGCACCACACATATTTTGATACTTACTACTAGGCCATATTTAAGTTTAAAACAATTTACTTATTCTGGAAAAATCTCACTCAAGCCAATGAAAATAATCATTTAGAAATATAATATTCTATACTTTGCTTTTCCCCTTTGTTCTGTATTAATTCAACTTTTTATTGTACCCATTTCATTCATATTTTTACCCCACTTCTACACCACTGAAACGCTTAAAATAATACTTGATCAATTTAATGACAATTTATACTGAAGTTGAAATATATTTTTGGAATGAATTCTACATATTTTCAATGTCATAATTGTCAGCTTTTATCTTAACATTTTTTATTATACCCTAAATATATGTTCAGTTATAACTGTTTTGACTGTCTTAATTTATTGCATACATCAAGGGCTCTTAAATTGTATATCCTTATTTTAATATATGCTTAATACATTTAAAATATTTTCAAATGAATTGGATGAACTCATTTTATACACTTAGCATTTGGTGTTTTTTTAATGTTAAATTGTTTTATAAATTTGGTGAATGTTGTTCAACTTTTAATTTAGTTTGAAATTTTTTTGAAATGGAGGTCTAGATATTATTCCTCTAAATGCTAATGTGATGTTTCTTTTTGCATGATTGTTATATTTATTTACTATGAGTTAATAAGTATAAACATTTGTTAGTCTAGCTCTAAACCATCTGTCTATGGTAGGATTGGTAGTTTAACTTTAAACCACCTGTCTATGTTAGGATTGGTAGTTTAACTTTAAACCACCTGTCTATGTTAGGATTGGTAGTTTAACTTTAAACCACCTGTCTGTGTTAGGGTTGGTAGTTTAACTCTAAGCACCTGTATGTGTTAGGGTTGGTAGTTTAACTTTAAACCACCTGTCTGTGTTAGGGTTGGTAGTTTAACTTTGCATCTTCTGTCTGTGTTAGGGTTGGTAGTTTAACTTTACACCCCCTGTATATGTTAGGGTTGGTAGTTTAACTTTACATCAGCTGTATGTGTTAGGGTTGGTAGTTTAACTTTGCATCTTCTGTCTGTGTTAGGGTTGGTAGTTTAACTTTACATCAGCTGTATGTGTTAGGGTTGGTAGTTTAACTTTGCATCTTCTGTCTGTGTTAGGGTTGGTAGTTTAACTTTACATCAGCTGTATGTGTTAGGGTTGGTAGTTTAACTTTGCATCTTCTGTCTGTGTTAGGGTTGGTAGTTTAACTTTAAGCACCTGTATGTGTTAGGGTTGGTAGTTTAACTTTACACCCCCTGTATGTGTACTTGTCTGTGTTAGGGTTGGTAGTTTAACTTTACACCCCCTGTATATGTTAGGGTTGGTAGTTTAACTCTAAACCACCCATCTGTGTTAGGGTTGGTAGTTTAACTCTAAACCACCCATCTGTGTTAGGGTTGTTAGTTTAACTCTAGACCACCTGTCTGTGTTAAGGTTGGTAGTTTAACTTTACATCTTCTGTCGGTGTTAGGGTTGGTAGTTTAACTTTACATCAGCTGTATGTGTTAGGGTTGGTAGTTTAACTCTAAACCACCCATCTGTGTTAGGGTTGGTAGTTTAACTCTAAACCACCCATCTGTGTTAGGGTTGGTAGTTTAACTCTAAACCACCCATCTGTGTTAGGGTTGGTAGTTTAACTCTGAACCACCTGTATGTGTTAGTTTAACTCTATAACACCTGTCTCTGCAAGGGTTGGTAGTTTAACTCTAAACCACCTGTATGTGTTAGGGTTGGTAGTTTAACGTTAAACCAACCGTCTGCATTAGGGTTGGTAGTTTAACTTTACACCACCTGTATGTGTTAGGGTTGGTAGTTTAACTCTACACCACCTGTCTGTGTTAAGGTTGGTAGTTTAACTTTACACCACCTGTATGTGTTAGGGTTGGTAGTTTAACTCTACACCACCTGTCTGTGTTAAGGTTGGTAGTTTAACTCTACACCACCTGTCTGTATTAGGGTTGGTAGTTTAACTCTAGACCACCTGTCTGTGTTAGTTTAACTCTAGACCACCTGTCTGTGCTAGGGTTACTGACAAAGTGGTGTGTCGCCTCCTGCACAAGGCCCGGCCATATTTGATCCACCTGAACATGAGGACCTGCCACCATCTGACCAGGTCCAGCTTCAACAGTGTCAGTGATTGTCGCAACCTGCAGGACCTGAACCTGTCTGAATGTGGTGGCCTTGATGTAAGTTGGGCCAACCTGTCTGAATGTGTTGGCCTTGATGTAAGTTTAGCCAACCTGTCTAAATGTGTTGGCCTTGATGTAAGTTGGGCCAACCTGTCTGAATGTGTTGGCCTTGATGTAAGTTGGGCCAACCTGTTGGCCTTGATGTAAGTTGGGCCAACCTGTCTGAATGTGTTGGCCTTGATGTAAGTCGGGCCAACCTGTCTGAATGTGTTGGCCTTGATGTAAGTTGGGCCAACCTGTCTGAATGTGTTGGCCTTGATGTAAGTTGGGCCAACCTGTCTGAATGTGTTGGCCTTGATGTAAGTTGGGCCAACCTGTCTGAATGTGTTGGCCTTGATGTAAGTTGGGCCAACCTGTCTGAATGTGTTGGCCTTGATGTAAGTTGGGCCAACCTGTCTGAATGTGTTGGCCTTGATGTAAGTTGGGCCAACCTGTCTGAATGTGTTGGCCTTGATGTAAGTTGGGCCAACCTGTCTGAATGTGTTGGCCTTGATGTAAGTTGGGTGGCCTTGATGTAAGTTGGGCCAACCTGTCTGAATGTGTTGGCCTTGATGTAAGTTGGGCCAACCTGTCTGAATGTGTTGGCCTTGATGTAAGTTGGGCCAACCTGTCTGAATGTGTTGGCCTTGATGTAAGTTGGGCCAACCTGTCTGAATGTGTTGGCCTTGATGTAAGTTGGGCCAACCTGTCTGAATGTGTTGGCCTTGATGTAAGTTGGGCCAACCTGTCTGAATGTGTTGGCCTTGATGTAAGTTGGGCCAACCTGTCTGAATGTGTTGGCCTTGATGTAAGTTGGGCCAACCTGTCTGAATGTGTTGGCCTTGATGTAAGTTGGGCCAACCTGTCTGAATGTGTTGGCCTTGATGTAAGTTGGGCCAACCTGTCTGAATGTGTTGGCCTTGATGTAAGTTGGGCCAACCTGTCTGAATGTGTTGGCCTTGATGTAAGTTGGGCCAACCTGTCTGAATGTGTTGGCCTTGATGTAAGTTGGGCCAACCTGTCTGAATGTGTTGGCCTTGATGTAAGTTGGGCCAACCTGTCTGAATGTGTTGGCCTTGATGTAAGTTGGGCCAACCTGTCTGAATGTGTTGGCCTTGATGTAAGTTGGGCCAACCTGTCTGAATGTGTTGGCCTTGATGTAAGTTGGGCCAACCTGTCTGAATGTGTTGGCCTTGATGTAAGTTGGGCCAACCTGTCTGAATGTGTTGGCCTTGATGTAAGTTGGGCCAACCTGTCTGAATGTGTTGGCCTTGATGTAAGTTGGGCCAACCTGTCTGAATGTGTTGGCCTTGATGTAAGTTGGGTGGCCTTGATGTAAGTTGGGCCAACCTGTCTGAATGTGTTGGCCTTGATGTAAGTTGGGCCAACCTGTCTGAATGTGTTGGCCTTGATGTAAGTTGGGCCAACCTGTCTGAATGTGTTGGCCTTGATGTAAGTTGGGCCAACCTGTCTGAATGTGTTGGCCTTGATGTAAGTTGGGCCAACCTGTCTGAATGTGTTGGCCTTGATGTAAGTTGGGCCAACCTGTCTGAATGTGTTGGCCTTGATGTAAGTTGGGCCAACCTGTCTGAATGTGTTGGCCTTGATGTAAGTTGGGCCAACCTGTCTGAATGTGTTGGCCTTGATGTAAGTTGGGCCAACCTGTCTGAATGTGTTGGCCTTGATGTAAGTTGGGCCAACCTGTCTGAATGTGTTGGCCTTGATGTAAGTTGGGCCAACCTGTCTGAATGTGTTGGCCTTGATGTAAGTTGGGCCAACCTGTCTGAATGTGTTGGCCTTGATGTAAGTTGGGCCAACCTGTCTGAATGTGTTGGCCTTGATGTAAGTTGGGCCAACCTGTCTGAATGTGTTGGCCTTGATGTAAGTTGGGCCAACCTGTCTGAATGTGTTGGCCTTGATGTAAGTTGGGCCAACCTGTCTGAATGTGTTGGCCTTGATGTAAGTTGGGCCAACCTGTCTGAATGTGTTGGCCTTGATGTAAGTTGGGCCAACCTGTCTGAATGTGTTGGCCTTGATGTAAGTTGGGCCAACCTGTCTGAATGTGTTGGCCTTGATGTAAGTTGGGCCAACCTGTCTGAATGTGTTGGCCTTGATGTAAGTTGGGCCAACCTGTCTGAATGTGTTGGCCTTGATGTAAGTTGGGCCAACCTGTCTGAATGTGTTGGCCTTGATGTAAGTTGGGCCAACCTGTCTGAATGTGTTGGCCTTGATGTAAGTTGGGCCAACCTGTCTGAATGTGTTGGCCTTGATGTAAGTTGGGCCAACCTGTCTGAATGTGTTGGCCTTGATGTAAGTTGGGCCAACCTGTCTGAATGTGTTGGCCTTGATGTAAGTTGGGCCAACCTGTCTGAATGTGTTGGCCTTGATGTAAGTTGGGCCAACCTGTCTGAATGTGTTGGCCTTGATGTAAGTTGGGCCAACCTGTCTGAATGTGTTGGCCTTGATGTAAGTTGGGCCAACCTGTCTGAATGTGTTGGCCTTGATGTAAGTTGGGCCAACCTGTCTGAATGTGTTGGCCTTGATGTAAGTTGGGCCAACCTGTCTGAATGTGTTGGCCTTGATGTAAGTTGGGCCAACCTGTCTGAATGTGTTGGCCTTGATGTAAGTTGGGCCAACCTGTCTGAATGTGTTGATCTTGATGTAAGTTGGGCCAACCTGTCTGAATGTGTATGCCTTGATGTAAGTTGGGCCAACCTGTCTGAATGTGTATGCCTTGATGTAAGTTGGGCCAAGCTGTCTAAATGTGTTGGCCTTGATGTAAGTTGGGCCAAGCTGTCTGAATGTGTTGGCCTTGATGTAAGTTGGGCCAGGGTAAAATAATGCTAAATTGGCAAAGTCAAAAACAAATGAGCTCTACTTCACCTACCCCAAAGACTATCTGGTCTAAATTGTTAAATTGATTTTTTTTGAGGTTGGGATTTAAAGTATTTGGTTTTGGACAGCCAATCCAATATTACCTTTATTAATAAATAGAAATGTTATCAATTTTATGTTATGTTAGATGTAGAAGATATTAGACTTACAAATACAATTAAAGCCTTCTAACCAATTTTCTGAAACAAGTAGATTGTTGGTAAGGTTTTTGATGGTTATTTACATGAAAAAAACTTTGTAAACAGCCTAAAATTTTCTGCAGGATGATGCCTTTAAAACTGTGACCAAAGGCTGTAGGATACTTCTGTACTTGAACATAGCCCACACCAATCTAACTGATGCCAGTTTAAGGGCAATCAACAAGTAAGTATTCGTGTTCTTTTTGCATAGTTTTTAATCAGTAAGTACTAAGTAACAATAATTAACCTTTATTGAAACATTTTTTATTATCGATAAGTAAGTATTTGTGTCCCTTTTCATATTTTTTATAATCAGTTAGTCACAATAATTAATTTACCTTTGTTGAAACATTATTTATTATCGAGAAGTAAGTATTTATGTTCCTTTTTATTTTTTTTATAAATAATAAGTAATATTTAATGTTCCTTATTTGTTATATATTTTTAATAATTAAACATTAAGTATTAATGTTCCTTATTTGTAACATTACTTTATAATTAATAAAATAAGTAACTATGTTCCTTTTGTATAAAAATTTGCTATAATCCATAAGTGAGTATTAGTGTTTTTTTATTTAATATATTTTAAATAATTAATAAGTGAGAATTAGTATTTATTTTTTATCTAAAAAGTACTTACACCTAATTATTCAGTTATTTTATTATATGAATTAATGATTGGTAAAAAATATAACCTGTACTGTTTTACATCAAATGATGTTAAATTATACAACAAAATGAGAATTGATATTAATCAATGTTTGGTCCATTTTTGCTAGAAACTGTGAAAATCTTCAATACCTGAGTCTGGCCTTCTGCCTCAAGTTTACTGACCGCGGGCTACAGTACTTGTCATCTGGCAAATGTCATGACAAGTTACAGTATCTTGACATTTCTGGATGTTTGCAGGTGATGTATTTTTCTAATCCTCGCAAAACAAAAGTTATTGGGTAATATTTTACCTTTCATGTTTCAAAATGGCGTATTAAAAATCCAATATTAAATATTAGATATGAAATTTTTTAAACAAAACAATTTTTATAATATCCTTTAATACTTGTCCTACAGTCAGTAGTTAAAAAAAATAATTTCTGTAGCTTATTGAAGTAACATGTTTTTTTTTAAAAATGTGATTATTTTTTTGTAACACATAAGTATTTATGATAATATCTCTAAAACATCATGACAACCAGATAACTCCAGAAGGCTTTCAGCACATTGCTGATGGGTGCCCAAAGCTTCAAACATTTTTGGTCAATGAATTCCCAACCCTTTTAGATGACTGTATGATGGTAACTATTTTTTTTCTGTTTTATGGTTAATATATTTATTCCTGTATGATGGTAACTATTTTTTTTCTGTTTTATGGTTAATATATTTGTGCCTGTATGACTGTATGATGGTAACTATTTTGTTTCTGTTTTATGGTTAATACATTTGTTTCTGTATGATTGCAGCTATCTGTTTTCTGTATGATGGTAACTATTTTTTTTCTGTTTTATGGTTAATATATTTGTTTCTGTATGACGGTAGCTATCTGTTTTCTGTATTATGGTAACTGTAATTCTTCTGTCAGTTGGCAACTGTATTTGTTTATGTATGATGGTAATTGTAATTATTTCTGTATGATGGTAATTGTAATTATTTCTGTAGGATGGTAATTGTAATTATTTCTGTATGATGGTAATTGTAATTATTTCTGTATGATGTTTTGTATATTTATTTCGTCTATAATGGTAACTTTTTTCTTCATATGATGGCAACTGTAATTGTTTATGTATGATATTTTGTAAATCTGTTTGTCTAAAATGGTAACTACTTTTTGTCTGTACGATGTTAAATGTAATTTTTTTACGAATAATGGTAACTATTTCTTTTCTGTACGATGGTAACTTTATTTGCTTTTTTTTTAATCATAATCCTAGGAGGTTTTATTTACTACATATTATTTTGTAGTATTTTGTGTTTATTTTTTATTTTTTTTTTGTTCTTTTTTACTTTCTCGTATATACGTAGTATAGAGAAAGTATTGTAATCGTGCAAAAAAAAAAAAATCGAGATTTTTACAAATCTGGATGTTTTACACCTCACTGATACGGAAAAACATAATTTTGCAATCTTTTCCGTATGTCTGTGTGTGTGTGTGTGTCTGTGTGTGTGTCTGTTTGTCCGTGTGTAAACACGATAACTTGAGTACCGTTACAGCTAGGTTGATGAAATTTCATATATAAGTATTATATCAAAATCGTAGATCCGTATCAACTTTTGAGCGATTTCCGACAACCGGAAGTGGTACTTTTTCTACTTTGAATTTTTCAAAAGCCTATAACTTGAGTACTATTTCAGATAGATAAATGAAATTTCACATGTAAGTAAAAGATCTAATTCTCTACCTTCTGTTAAATTTTGAGTAATTTCCGTTGACCGGAAGTAGTAATTTACGCTACTTCCGATTTCTCAAAAAACTAATGTAAATTTATTAAGTACTAATACTATTGCGCACTATTATACACACCTTTATTAGGCGTTCGCTTGGTGCGCAATTGTTTTTTACTGAGATTCTATTCTATTTTTAAAAGTTTCAGTATTTAAAATGGATTAAAAATCATAACTATATCCCCAGTTACCATCCCCTGTTGTTTTATATAAGAATATTCGAGAAAGTTTAGGGGAGATCACTACCGGTTTATTTAAATTTATAATTGTTGTAGAGATGTTTTTGACTGTTTAAGTGAAATCAGTATTGTTGCCTGACAGATCATTGGTCAGAAGTGCAAGAAGATCCACACCCTATCTCTCCTGGGCTGCCCTCTCCTAACGGATGAATCCCTGAAGCTGATAGCTCACAACAAAACACTGCAAGTTTTCAAGATTGATGGTAAGACAATATTCACTAGAGATCTCTTAGCCAGTGATGTTTTAAAGAGTCACATTACATGGGATAGCTCACAACAAAACACTGCAAGTTTTCAAGATTGATGGTAAGACAATATTCACTAGGGATCTCTTAGCCTGTGATGTCTGTCTGTAATGTTTTAAAGAGTCACATGACATGGGATAACTAACTAGTCCACAAACGTGCTTTCTAAAACATAAAATCAATCAATCAATCATACCATAAACCCTAAATGGTGGTTGTTTGGTCACAACAGTTGACTTTTTATATATGTTGATCATGGCTGCTTTAAGTAACTCTACAACTGTTTTCTCAGTCAATTCCTTGATGTCACCCATCTAATTTTATCTTTGCCTCCCTCACAGACATTTAGTTCTAGCTTTTAAAATGTTTTTACTACAAATAACAAAGGTATTTTTCTAATTGTAATACATTTTTGTTTGTTATTATACTATAATTCTTTTCAGTCAGACCAAATTCAAACTAATTTAGTTTTTGTTAAACAGGTAACAATAGAATATCAGACTTAAGCTTGAAGCAGATAGGTCGTAACTGTCCAGAACTGCGTCACGTCTACTTGGCTGACTGCCAGCGCATCACTGACGCGACACTCAAGGCTCTGTCAGCGTGTAAAAATCTTGTGGTGCTCAACCTGGCAGATTGTGTTCGGTGAGTCTCAATATAATAAAACACAGGCTACCTAACACAGGCTACCTACTTCAGACTTTGAGCATACTCTGTTATTAAGTTTTGGCTTAGGCCTAAATAACTGTAACTCATTTTTTTTCCTTTTCTATACTCAATGATTTCTGTTAGATTTAAAACTTAAGTGCATTAGTTTATAAATTTAATCTCATTAGATAATAAAGAGGTCATTGAACATGAATTAAAATATTAGATCAGGCTTAAGTCCATGGGATGATTTGTTCATCGAGCTCTGACTGGTACCTTACTCATGTTAGGGAAAATAATGATAGATTGGCATAGTGCTGACCACACTATTGTTTCAAAGTCACAGAAACATGTGAACAATACTTAATGTGCCTCATGGTAACTTGACTACAGGCCTACAATTAGAAAAGAGGGAAGTTAATTGCTGGTATTTATCCAAAAAGGGAACGTATTATCACATATTTGAAATTTTTGCACAGTCACATATGTGAAATTTTAAAATAATTTGGACATCAATAAAATTATTTTCATGTTTCATTTAAAAGAATTTCATTATAACGTTTCATCCTACATATAATATATTCTAATAAAAATTGTAAGAGTTGACAATCTGTCAATGTGTGTTTGTGTGTTAGGATCAGTGATTCAGGCATCAGACATTTCACAGAAGGCCCAGCAGCCAGCAAGCTGAGAGAACTGAACGTGACCAACTGCGTCAGAATTGGTGACATGGCCATGGTCAACATACACAAGAGGTCAGGAGACTTTCTGGTCACTTTGTTAATTTAATAAAAATTGTCTTGTGTATTTGTATTTTGTTATCAGTTATACGGTTATCTAATGTGAATATACTGTGTCAGTATTTTATTAAATGGATACATTTTTTTATTGTTGGAAGCTCTCCAGCTCTAAAAATAAAAATAGTTTGTGAGATTTTAATATGGTAAGTAAGTCTATGTATATTTTATATGAGGGGCCACAGTTTGTGAATGTAAATTTTGTATCAGGTGCCATAGTTTGTGAATGTAAATTATGTATCAGGTGCCATAGTTTGTGAATGTAAATTTTGTATCAGGTGCCACAGTTTGTGAATGTAAATTTTGTATCATGTGCCATAGTTTGTGAATGTAAATTTTGTATCAGGTGCCACAGTTTGTGAATGTAAATTTTGTATCAAGTGCCACAGTTTGTGAATGTAAATTTTGTATCAGGTACCACAGTTTGTGAATGTAAATTTTGTATCAGGTGCCACAGTTTGTGAATGTAAATTTTGTATCAAGTGCCACAGTTTGTGAATGTAAATTTTGTATCAGGTGCCACAGTTTGTGAATGTAAATTTTGTATCAGGTGTCACAGTTTGTGAATGTAAATTTTGTATCAAGTGCCACAGTTTGTGAATGTAAATTTTGTATCAGGTACCACAGTTTGTGAATGTAAATTTTGTATCAGGTGCCACAGTTTGTGAATGTAAATTTTGTATCAAGTGCCACAGTTTGTGAATGTAAATTTTGTATCAGGTGCCACAGTTTGTGAATGTAAATTTTGTATCAAGTGCCACAGTTTGTGAATGTAAATTTTGTATCAGGTGCCACAGTTTGTGAATGTAATTTTTGTATCAGGTGCCACAGTTTGTGAATGTAAATTGTGTATTAGGTGCCACAGTTTGTGAATGTAAATTTTGTATCAGGTGCCATAGTTTGACTTATCTGAATATAAATTTTGTATCATCAGCCACAGTTTGTGAATGTAAATTTTGTATCATGTGCCACAGTTTGTGAATTTAAATTTTGTATCAGGTGCCGCAGTTTGTGAATGTAATTTTTGTATCAGGTGCCACAGATTGTGAATGTAAATTTTGTATCAGGTGCCCCAGATTGTGAATGTAAATTTTGTATCAGGTGCCCCAGATTGTGAATGTAAATTTTGTATCAGGTGCCCCAGATTGTGAATGTAAATTTTGTATCAGGTGTCACAGTTTGTGAATGTAAATTTTGTATCAGGTGCCCCAGATTGTGAATGTATATTCTGTATCAGGTGCCACAGTCTGACCTACCTGAATGTAAATTACTGCGAGCACATCAGTGAGGCTGGGATAGAACTGATTGGACAGATACACAGTCTGGTGGCGCTAGATGTCAGCGGCTGCAACTGTGGGGATCAGGTAGGTCTCAGCGATGGGGGGGTGGGGGGTGAGGGAGGTGAAGTAAGTCTTGGTTGAAGAGGGTGGGTCAGGGTATTTGTACATTTTGTGTTAGTACAGAAGGTGGTGGGTTGGTGTTAGTGGTGGATGGGTGTGAATGTAAGTCTTGTTGATAGTGGGTGGGGGTTTATGTTAGGGTGTTAGTACAAGTTGGGAAAGTAAAGGTAAATCTTGTTAGTGAGAAAGGGGGAGTGTAGAAGTAAGTCTTTGTGTTAGTGGGAGGAAATATAAATCTTTTAGTAGGGTGGTGGTAAAGTTAAATTGTGTAGTTATTGTGGAGGGGAGGGGGGTTAAGGTAAGTTTTGATGTTGGGAAGGGAAAGTAGTTCTTGATGTTGAAGATATGATGGTCAGTCTTACTGACGGTGAACATGGGGGATCAAGTAAGTTTTGGTGACGGTGACAAAAGGGATCCGGCAGATCTTGGTGTCAATTTGTAGTCAGGTGGTTATTGATGACATAGGACCTGGGATTCAAAAAGTGGCTGTATAAAAAGATCACCTGATGTGATCGCCAGGAAAATACTGTTTTTAAACATGTTTTAATCCAGATATTAGATCTAGTAATTTTCATTTTTGTAAAAATACTTGCACTCTTCTGACTTACATATTTCAAGTAGAAAAGCAGTTATGTTTATCTTAGTTTAAATTTATTTCACCAAGAAACTATGTTTTGGCCATATCAGAAATCAAATGCATGTTTTTAGATCCTAACATGTCTAACAATGTTTTATTGAGCATGATGTAATTCTAACAAAATATTTTATTGAGCATGATGTAATCGTAACAATACATAATGTTTTACTTTCCGCGATTGACCGCAATAGGGGTTGTCAGCTTTAGGACACAACCCACGCTTGCGGGACATTGTCCTATCAGAGAGCAGCAGCATCACTGATCTGGGGCTACAAAAGTTTGCCCAGCAGTCCAAGGACATTGAGAGGCTTGACCTGTCACACTGCATGGTTAGTTCCAAAGTGACTTTATAATGTTATTAAATTAGTTCTTTGCTGATTTGTGATACTTTTTCAGACTATATTTATGGCATTTTAAACCTTCTAAAAGTTATAGCTTATTCTAATAAGATTTACAACATAAGCCACCATAATCATAACTAGATTTTTAGTTCTTTAATTACTTTAAAAAATCATTAAATGGCTTGATTTGTCCTATTGTAAGACAATTTTTAAAAAGACTTAAAATGGGAAGTTGGCATCTGATAGTAGAGCATTCAACTGTTATGCTCTCTCTCTCTATATATATATATATATATATACGGAAACCGGCTCAGGAGTATGACTCCCATTAGCCAGGCAGGCCTCAGTGTAGCAAACTCCGACACATGGTGGTAGTAGCAAGTCGTTTAGTGTCGGTTTGATCGCTACATGTCGGTCCCTTCTCCGTCGGCTCTCACCGGGCTTTCCTTCCCCACCCACCAGACGCAGAATGTTGTCCTACCGCCTGGTACCCAGCTTGATCGTGGGGGGCATTCGGCCAGATCAAAAGCCTCTAGCTGCTGTTAGCTACCACTAGCCATTCCGCACCCATTAGGGGGGGGGTCATGAGTTTGGTCCGACTAATGGCACTCTTCCGAAGCCACGTGAAGGCCGCAGCTTAAAGTCAAAATATCTGGTTAGGGTCGAGAGCAGACCCCTTATGGTTCCCGGCAGTCTTGAACCTCTCCTCCCTCATGCTATAATGTAGGGGAATTGGGAGTCCGACAAACCAGGCTCTTTGGAAAACTGTTATGCTAAATGTCTTTAGTTCAATTATTGTGTCTGTGTCAGTAGAACATCCCTGAGTTCACCCAGCTCAGATGACTACATGGCCTACATTAGGGAAAGTAAAGGCAGCTGGGCATAGTGCTGACAACACCATCCCTTCATATGCCTTGGTCTATGAAACAGATCACCTTAGAAAACAACTAAATGGTTTTAATTTGTCCTATTCATAGACTAAGTCTATTGATATCATAATAAGGATATATGCGTAGCAAAGATAGACAGTATAATCAAAAGCCAGTAGATCTAAATTGTTACCATAACCAGATTTTTTAGTTTCTTAACAATCTTAGAAAATCAATAATTTGCCTGATTTGTCCTATTTTAAGACTACTGTTAAAAAACTATAGATATCTTAATAAGAATATATGTGTAGCATTGATAAACATTATACCCAGATTTTTTGAACATCTGTATTTCAGAACCTAACTGATGGGGCCATTAAGAATTTGGCATTTTGTTGTCGAATGATCACAGTATTAAACTTGTCTGGATGCAAACATGTAAGAATCACCTACACCAGGGGTCTCCAAACTACGGCCCGCGGGCCGCATCCGGCCCGCGAGGTCCTCTCATCCGGCCCGCGGAGATCCCTTTGTCCACGGAAAAAAACGTGTGTTGGTTATGGCTGAGGAACTTTCTCCAGAAAAGTCAAAGACATGTCTGGAACTAACTGGCCCCCGAACTGAAATTTGATAGTTATTGCGGCCCTCGGACTGAAAAGTTTGGAGACCCCTGACCTACACGGTTGATCTAATGCCTTTCTATAAAAAACAAAACTTGCTAGCTTAAAATGTGTGTAGTGGTGAATAAAAAATATGAAAAACTTCAGGGTATGATAGAAAATGCAATGTCAATAAAATTATTTTTCTTGTTCATATTTTATTTTTTAAAATACCTTTATTATGTTTCTTAAGTTTCAAACTTTGAAAATAAATATCTAAATATTGAATGTAAGATTATTAAAAAAATTACAACACTTGTACTATAAGCCTATATCCTATAGTTGTTAGCATTGAAAATAAGTAGGCCTATAGAAATATGAATGTAAGATTATTTCTAACTGTTTTTGTTTGCACCAGATAACCGACCTGAGCATCCAGTACTTGTCAGGTGTCTGTCACTACCTCATCAAACTTGACATCAGTGCTTGCATACACATCAGGTGAGATAAGACAGACATTTGTTTACCATTTTATGGGTTATGTCCCCTTTCTTAAAATTTTGCTTTTTTTTTCTGTTAATTATGGAAAATATGCTAGTTACTTTTTTAAATTAGAATCTACTTGTTAAACATATTCTATTAAAATTTGACTACCATTAAATTATTATGGATTGTGTTTTTATGCTAATTATGGCAATAGAAACCAATCTAATGAAAACTATGAGAAAGCATTTCATACTTGGTCCTTATGGTAATGTTGTTTATTTTTATAGTGACAAAGCCCTCAAGTATTTAAGAAAAGGATGCAAGAAACTGAAATACTTAAATTTGATGTACTGCAAGAAAATATCAAAGTAAGGTTTTAAAAAATATGTTGACACCAAGATAGGCCTACTAGATATAACCTTTTTTTTATCATGTAATTAACCAGAATTTAACTAAGAGAAATTTCTCTATAAACTTTACTTAGCTTTTTCTTTGATTCCTACTCAAAGACCTGTGCCAGAGGCGTAGCGATGGGGGGGGGGAGCAGGGGGGTACATATGTCCCCGGGCGCAGACCTTAGGGGGCGCCAAAATGGGTTGTAAAAACAAATTAAAATGTCATTTTAGCTGCATTCTTGCAGTTTGAGGGGGGGGGGGGTGCAAGTTGAAAATTTGCTCCCGAGGGGGGCGCCAAATTGAAAGTTTGTCCCCGGGCCCCGGGAAGGGTCGCTACGCCTCTGACCTGTGCATAATTTTTTAACTATGGAAGTTGAATATCCACATTTCTTTGTGCTCTTTTATAGTTAACAATTTCTTTAAAAGCTCAATATCTTCTGTCCCATTTTACTCCAACAATAAATTAAAACATCTTTATAAGTTAGGTCTCAATATGCACTTAAAGTAGAGTTTATCTTATTCAAAAGCCTGTCAGGTCAAGCACTTTTAACTTTTTGCTAATTTATCTTTGGTACTTATCAGATCGGAATAGACTTAGATATATCCAATACTTTAACAGAGCAACAAAACAAGCTTGCTTATTTCAACAGCTTGCAAAATCTGGCTTTGAGTTTTTATTCTGTCCTAACAGTGTTCCCTATAGGTTCTAAAATGTTTTAAGACATGTATGTTTAACAATTTAGATCAAAAAAGATGTTATTGAATTATGCCACAAAAAAACTATTTGTATAATAAAATTTACAATTATTGAATTTGTTTCCTTAAAAAGATACATTTTGATAAATTATTTTCTTTAAGGAACGCTGCCCAGAAACTTCAGCGACATATTCTGCAAGTAGAATACAGTAACGAAGATGTCCCTAGATATTTTAATTATTGATTAACTTAATTGTAGAGATTCTGTACATGCCTGCATAAACTTACATTTATTTTGTTATCATACTCATTCATTTTACATGTAAATGTTATTGTTAATGCTTTTTATTCTGATAATAGATTACAGTTGGTCGATTTAAGTTATAAAAATGTAGCATTATCTTAAGACTGTTGAAGTGTATAAATATAATTTTTGTATATAGGTAGGCTTATATTTTGTATATTGATTTATTTAAGTATATTGTATGTGTAAAATCTGTGATATTTGGATATATTTATATTCCATATTGTTATTATACCCAACTGCTGATAAATAAGAAGCAAGATCTTTTTGTTAAGGTTTTTTTTAAATAGATGACAAAACAAATGGTTAATTGACAGTAAACAATATTTTTGTGTCTGTTTTGGAATTTTGCAATTGTTTTCCCCATCCTAGGGCTTAAACTGTTGTTTGGTGAACATGGCTTAAAAGGCCTATATACAATGATGAATGCTGCAAACATAGCAAAATAAAGATATATTTTTAGATATCATTGTTATAAAAAGTTACCATCATTTTAGAAGATACATCATTGCATGTATTTTCTTTTAAGTCCTTAAAAAATCAAGACCAAATCAATACAATAATTCATATGTATTTATTGACATAAACATACTGAAATGCATAGCTTCTTTACATTGCTATATGTGGTGGGTATATTATTATTAATCTAATGTGAACCTACAACAAGTTTATATTTTAAAGTTTGTATACCAAGAATTAGCAAGGATATGACTGCTATGAACCCTAGATAGCCTAATATTTATACAGCTGTGCTTGTAATTAATTGTAGAAAAAATGTGTCTTAATTACTGTGGTCAACTGTTGAATAATGGGTACACCTTACAAGAGTAATCAGTGTTTCTTTCAGACTTTTTTCTCCGGGGGGGGGGGGGGGCGGACACTAGTAAAAGTGTATGTTTACTATATAAAACCCATCTCGTTCGGGGGGGGGGGGAGGCAGTAGACTTTCTTCCCCCCCCCCCCACCCCATCGGAACAGATGCCTGGAAGAAACTCTGAGAGTAATAGGCCACTGCCCAGAGCGCAAGAGTTCCTAGATAAATTTCAACTGCCCCGTGTTCGTTACCAAGGCAAGCCACCTAGATGAAGGCATCCAGCTCTGGTCGGGAATGCAGAGGGGTGGACACCGTTGTGTAACACACCACTCATTAGCAAGGGCGGAACTACCATGCCAACAGCAGTGATTGTTCTACAGTAACTAACACACACCATTGCCTAGACAAAAAAAACTACATGAGCTAGTGTTAAGGAGCAAACCTTGAAAACTCTTCCAAGATTTATCACCCCCTTTTTAATAGTCTAATTTCTTCTCTTAATTATTATTAAATCAAAGTATACAAAAGCAACAGCCAATAGAGACAGATATCAAGGCCCGAAAATGGGGATGGATCGGACACACATTAAGAAAAGAAAAAGAAAACATCGCAAGGCATGCTTTGGACTGGAATCCCCAGGGAAAAAGGAGGGTGGGCCGGCCTAGGAAGACATGGAGAAGAACGGTTGAAGAAGAGGCGAAAACAGCTGGGCTCACATGAAAGGGGGCAGCCCAAAACCGAGTCCGCTGGAAATGTGTGGCTGCAGCCCTTTGCTCCCCAGGGTCCACAAAGGAATGATGATGATGATGATGATGATGATGATGATGATGATGATGATGATGATGATGATGATGATGATGATACAAAAGAAGGACACAGCTGTAAAAAAGAAGAATGTGTTCAAAATTATATAAATGCTGAAAAACACAAGAATAAAAGAATCGCGTGAAATTATAACACGTATCGAACCTCCGTGTTTAAATACTTTTTACAGGATTGACAGACTACTCTATTTTACAATTTTAGGCGGGTACAACTACAAGCGAAACTACAAATAAAAGTATTTTTTTTTAAAAAGGTAGGCCTATACATGAGATAAAAAAAAAGTTGTTAAAACACGATTATATCTCGCCCGAAATGAGCTAGAGTAAAAAAAAAATGTGTGATTTGTTGTCTCGTGATGTACTTTGCAATGAAATAGGTTTAAAATTACTAAATTAGGAAATGGTTAAAATAATTAAATTTAGTCATACAGTCTAGGGGGGGGGGGAGCGAATTTTTTTTGCGGGGTGGCCTATTTTTTTCTATTTCTAAGACTACTCTTTAATTAAGACAACACCGAGCTATTGATTTAGCAAAAAGAACAACAGTTATTGTACCTTTTTTACTTTCTCGTATATACGAAGTATAGAGAAAGTCTTGTAATCGTACAAAACAAAATCGAGATTTTTGCAAATCTCGAGGTTTTAGGACTCCCTGAGTCGGAAAAACATAGTTTTGCAATCTTATCCGTATGTCTGTGTGTATGTGTCTTTGTGTGTGTGTGAACACGATAACTTGAGTACCGTTACAGCTAGGTTGATGAAATTTTATATATAAGTATTATATCAAAAGCGTAGATCCGTGTCATCTTTTGAGCAATTTCCGATAACCGGAAGTGGAACTTTTTCTACTTTGAATTTTTCAAAAGCCTATAACTTGAGTACTATTTCAGATAGATAAATGAGATTTCACATGTAAGTAAATGATCAAATTCTCTGCCTTCTTTCAAATTTTGAGTAATTTCAGTCGGCCGGAAGTAGTGATTTACGCTATTTCCGATTTCTCAAAAAACGCATGTGAATTTATAAAGTACTAATAATATCCCGCACTATTATGCACATTTTATTTGGCGTTCACTTAGTGTGCAATTTTTTTTAACGAAATCCTATTCGATTATAAAAAGTTTAAGTAATTAAAAATGGATTTAAAATATTGTCTTTGTCCCTAGTTGCCACCCCCCTTAGTGTTATATTAGAATATTCGAGAAAGTTTAGGGGAGATCCCTCCTTGTTTTTTTTTTTAAATCTAAATCTGCTGCAATGAATGTAGGTGTCAAGGCTTTTATTGTTTTTAAACGTAGTTTAATGCACCCCAGTGATAGTTTTACTGTCGACATGTACCGGATGTTTTTGTGTAGGGGAGCGAACGTTCAATAAAATCATTCGAGTTTTATGTAACTTGTCTCCGCAATAAATGCTACCCAGTTTTCATGTGAGAGAGGAGGTGGGTTATTTCAAAAAGTGCGAAACGAAACACGGAACACAATCAGATGTAGTCACAACCATGTCGGCTTTCAGAATCAGGTCTATTTTTGTGATCTTGACGCCTGTTTGTGTGTTTTTACTTTACTGCTTCAGCTTCAAGTTTTATCCCGATCAGAGCAAGTTCATTGCCCACACGTTCAAACATGCAATCAGCAATGAAATGTAAGAATTTTCTTTTACAACTATGCTATTTTTTTAGCGCAATTTCCATTCTGGAGAATTGCGTTTATTAACCCGTCATTTCTGGATGTATGAATGGTTGTGTGTCCGCAGCTTTAAGTCGTATCTCCTCCTCAACGAAGCAATATCGAGGACTAGTTCCAAAAGCAAATATGTTAAGCAAGTTACGAGGATGAACATAGGCCAAAAAATTCCGGGTTCCTTTCACGGATTTCCCGGAAAAGCCAAAAAACCTCGAATAAATGCAGTTTTTGGCCCATATCTCGGCAACCAGACCACTTAGCGACTTGAAACATGTACCAATCGATTTCTGCCATAATCTAAAACAATAGTGCCGAAGAAAGTTTTCAAAAATATCCTTTCGTTCGGTCACAAAAAAAAAAATTTGAATTAATTAAAATTTGGACCAAATTAGTAGGCATTTTTATCCAACCACACCACACGCGTCATCACGTTCAATAGCTGCGCCATCACGTTCAATGGCTGCGCCTTCACGTTCGGTAGCTAGGCGCGCAATGGTTTTTAGTCATGTAACTCTATTGTAAATAAAAAATGTAAAATACTGAAATTTTTTTTTAATAAAGAACGTTTTAATAACTAACCAATGGTTTTCCTAACCCTGCTCTTGATTTACGCTACGACAGAGCTATTTTTAGATAACATAAGGAAATTGCGCTTAAATTGTCACAAGACTTTTTAATTAACTTGTTTATAGAGGATAGCGTGGTCGGATGCTAGAGCGCTCCATCATTAGTATGAACGTTTCGAGTTCGAAACTTGGTTCGGATTTTGTGACTGTAACACGTCCCTGTGTCCATTAGGGCTGAGGACTTACGTTAGGGTATGGGAGGTGAGTTGACATAGTGTTGACCACACTATCCCTTTACATGCCGGGGTCACGAAACGTGAGTTCTATCCTTGTGGATCGTAAGGGGTCGTTCATAAATGACGTCACACTCGTAGGGGGAGGGGGGTCGGTAATTTTGTGACGATGTGTGATGAGGGGGAGGGGGTTCAGATGGTGCGACGTCACACTTTTGCTTTATAGAAAAGAAATGTTAGAAAACGAATTTTAGACGTTATTTTGCGTTTTAGAAAACAGTTTTAATAAATTGTAATAGGAATTGATTAAAATACTCTATTTCGACATATTTCAGACAAGATTTTGGAAAAATATCGATGTTTTAAAAAAAATTCAACTGCAATTTTGAGGGAGGTTGTATGCTGAGGTTTGACGTCATTTTAGAGGGGGTCTGGCTTTTTGTAACGACGTGTAACGGAGGGAAAGGGGAGGGAGGTAAAAATCGTCAAAAAAAACGTGACGTCATTTATGGGTGATCCCTAAGGCCTATGTCTGAAAGGCAAACTTAACTAGGCCTACATTTTTATTTCAGATTCTTTTTTTTAAATTTAAATTGTCTTTAGATTCTATATTGTGGCTTGTTGTTAGTGAGGATTTGTTAAAATTATTTATATCTAAAAAAAACTAGCTATAAAATAAACATGTTTACTTTATAGTATGTTGAGAATAATGAAGTTATGTAATGGTGCAAGAAAAATCGGAATCGAGACGACCTATCTGCAATGTTGTAGGTATATCTGTCTATCTTTTCCCTTAAATGCTCAAGACATATGGGGACCGCCACAGAAAGATTTGTCTGCCTCGGCATTTTTTTTTCGCAGTCCCGCAAGAAGTCCCGCCCAGAGTTTCTTCTAGGCATCTCCCCGAAGAAAGTCTACCCCCCCCCCCCCGAACGAAATGAAATTTACATAGAAAATATGTACTTTTAACAATGTCCGCCCCCCCCCCCCCCATGAAAGTCTACCGCCCCCCCCCCCCCCCCTGGAAGAAACACTGGTCCCGCCTTTGTAAATTGCGTTTCTTTTGTGCTTCTCCACGTCTCCCTTGACCTTCCCGGTTTTCTTTTTTTCTTTACGCGCCTTATAGGTGCTGTTTGTCAAGTGCGTGCACAATATTTTCAGTATCGGCGAGGTAAGGTGGACAAAATTTCACAATAATGAATTAGATTTATACTTAGCTTCTCTTAGTAACTTTTGAGCGATTTCCGGTAACCGGAAATAGTAGACTACATCACTCCGTTTCAGGCTTCTTGAGTATAGTTCCAGTTAGTGGACGAAAATTTAAATGTAATATAAAACATAATACATAGGTTTCTATCAACTTAAGAACGATTTCCGGTAACGGTAAGTGGTTCTTTACTCTATTTCCGTTTTTAAATACCTTCCTAATTTGATAATTTGTATATAATATTCTCAAAAACAAGCACAATATCACGCTTCTTCGCATGTATGTGTTTTTTTTCTCGAGTGGTTTTGTCACATACTTACCTACTTTACCTAGTGTCCTTCTCTACGGGAAGTGCCATTTCAACCTTTGCTGTTATAAACAAATATACGAGACAGGTTATGGGAGCTCACTCCCGCTTTGCTAATTTAAAAAAAAACATGCCGTTGATTTGTTAATTATTTAAATTTTAAAATCCAGCTACAATAAAATATGTGCACAGCTAATCATAGAATTATCAGCAGTTATTAGCTACCTTTTCGTCAACTGGTTATGCGCCATTGGGGCCATTGACTCCGATTTCAGCCTGCTTTTGTTTTTGGAATTGCTTCCAAGAACAAACTACAAGGCAGCAGTTGTTTGATTTTGGAGTTGTCTCTCCTAGAAGAGTTGTTGTCCCCAGTTAACGAGCCCCGTTCTGCCCCTAAACTGGTCGATTAAGAGCAATTTGAAAAGTGATCCGGTTTTGTGAGGAAGTGTATCGTTAATTATCTGTAAACTTTGAAAGCAAAGTTTGAAAATATATTTTTTCTTTATAATTATCAATTGGACAATTGCAGAAGTAAAAAGATGATGTTTTGCTACAAACTAAACTCCACCCTACCCCACCCCACCATAATTTATAGCAGTGGTTTTTAACCTTGGTTCGTTCGAGCCCCTGGGATTTTGTAAGTCAGTCTCAGGGATTTTGACAGAACTATTAAAACTATTTCAGTGAATGCGCATATGAAACTGATGGGGTCCAGTGCCTCTAAAAAGGTAAAGAACCACTGATCTATGGCAAGAGCTTGTCTATCGACGTACAAGCTACAAAAGTACTCTTAAATTTATTATGTGCGACTTGTGGGCGTGTTATGGGGAAGGGGTAGGGAAAATATCTATTAAAATAGCGTGCATCGACAACCCCTACAACTCATGGTTGTTTTGTTTCATAGTTACGTAGACATATATTGACCCATATTATATTATTATTTATTATCAATGTCCATTAAGTTTTATACCATAAAACTAACACTAACCGAGGATACTATGGACAAAGCTGCAAAAATCGAATCTTTTATTTACTTGACTTGTTTGAACTTATATCACATAAAAACTAGAGAAAATTATTGCTTACAGTATGACTCAGATCAAGAATGGGAGTAAAGCGCATAATATAATTTTAATGCCCTCAACCTGTTCTCTGTCTGCACCCATAAAATGACACATCCATACATATATATATGTACTAGCCGTCCCGACCAGGCCCTGCACTGGCCTCTGTGAAAATCGTATAGGTAAAGAACTGTGGCTTGTGTGTTTATTAAGCAACATATACCCGGCATTGCTCGGGTTTAGGAAATTTATTACTGTTCCTATTAAATGTCTGTATGCAGATATGGACGTTTGAGAAAATCAAACATAACCCTAACGGTAACTCTAAACCACACCGCACCAAAAACGAAACCCAAACATAAACGCAAACACAAATGCAAACACAAACGCAAACAAAAATATAAATGCAAACCCTAACGCAAAAACAAACGCAAACACAAACGCATCTTATCTGTAGTTTACTGTACCCATTAAAACGAACGCATTGTCTGACTCGTTTGGTCAATGTCCGAAAAGATTAAAATTGACAGGGAATCTTGTTCATTGGTCGGTTACTTCGCGAACAGGTGGGGATGTACTATACACAAACACACACTCAAACGCACACTCCATGAGAGATGAGACACAGATACTACAGCAAAGAATAAAAACACCGACTGAAAAATGAATTGAAGAATAATTTTAAATTGATAGTTGATAAATATTTGAAACATGCCGACGTTGAAATATTTTTATAATTAAATTTGAGAAGTGCGTCAAAAATGTCATATTTTTGTGTTGAAAGTTTTTCGATGTTTCAGAAATAGACGTATTGTACTTGAAAGAAAGGAAAAGTTCGACAAGTGGATTGTCGTGACGTCAGTTTTCCAACCATCAAAACAGCTCAGGATCCTGGCTCAAATTCCTGGCTGGCGTTTGGTCGTTGTCGGTGATAGAAAGACCCCGTCAAACTGGAGGTAGGGAATGGTTCAATGACCTCTCTAAACTTGTTTTTTTTAAATATATTTTTCGTTGTATCTGTTTCAAGGCACATTAAAACGTTAAGTCTAACGTTTTATTTTGATACTTATGGAGGTATTTAAGAAGAATCATCGATAAAACTCCGTGGTCGGATGATAGAGCATACGACTTCTAACCCGACAATATCGAGCTCAAATTCCGGATTCTTGTCTGTAGAACGTCCCCCGAGTCTACTTAGCTCTGATGGGTAACTTAAGTGAAAAATTGGTGACTTGGCATAATGCTGACCATACTATCCTTTATGAGCCGACGGCACTGAAACTGGTGAACTCTGCACCGTAGACCGCCAGACCCAGAACAGAAATTTTTATTTAAAAAACACAAAGAAAATAGCCAGTTATAATTAGAACAACGCATTCAAATCATTCATACCAGACGATGAGGTAACAATGGTAGAAATTATGTTAAAAGAAAAGCAAATTATTTCGCCCCTCTATTCGTTTATCCTCGTCACCAGCAATATCCAGCTATTCTCTGTAAATCCAACACTAGTTCTTAACCACAGTTGTCTCTCTTTACTCTATTTTATAAGAATTGTCTCTCTTTACTCTATTTTACCACAATTGTCTCTCTTTACTCTAGTTTACAAGAGTTGTCTCTCTTTACTCTAGTTTACCAGAGTTGTCTCTCTTTACTCTAGTTTACCAGGCTGTGACTACCTAAGCCTGAACACACAGAAACACCTGGGATTTTCTCTAGCTTTCCACCTGCCTTTAGGAAGTTACGCCAGGAAGAACATTGGCTACCTGTATGCGATTCTAAATGGCGCCAAGTTTATCTATGAAACTGACGATGACAACAGGTTAACGTACATAATATACTAAATTAAATGTAGACGTTTTTTTTTGTTAATATATATGTTTCAAAGCTTAACATTGAGTATGTGGCACAATCACCGTACTAAGTAGGCTCCATAGCTCTGAGAAAAGCAACGTAAAAAATATATTAATATGATAGCAAAATAATTGAATTATCTTACCTATACTTTGAAAATGAGCATTTCTTTCAGACTTTAAATTGTATAATATATTGTTAATTTATTATTATTTTTATAACAATAATTAACTATTCTCCTACAAAAATATCCGAAATCGTCCTACATCTATTAAACCTTAATCAAGGCATTTGACATTTCAGTCCGGAAGACAACCTCAATGGATTTGTTCTAACTCCTAGCATGTCTGGACTCATGTTTGTTGGGAACAATGTCTTTAATCCGTACACCCATTTTGGGCAGTCGACTCTATGGCCTAGAGGTTACCCACTCTCTCACATAGGCAAAAAACAGAATCGTCAGTACAAGTGAGATAACATATATTTTATGTTAGCACAATCACACAGTACAGAATACAAAATAAATAGTGTAGTTATATTCTATGTGTAAGAACTTAATGGTCAAACATGCTGAGGTTTGAAATATATATATATGGTGACAGGACAAATGATCTCAGGACAAATGATCTCAGACAAAATATCTCAGACAAAATATCTCACGGACAAATGATCTCAGGACAAATTATCCCAGGACAAATGATCTCAAGGACAAATGATCTCGCGGACAAAAGATACCAGGACAAAATATATCAGGACAAATGATATCATGGACAAATGATCTCAGACAAAATATCTCAGACAAAATATCTCACAGCAAAATTTTAAAAGTGTATTGGATAATTTAAGTTGATCTGAACATTTTTTTTATTGACTGCCATATGGCTTTGTTTACTATGTTTAATATTGTTTATAGGCCTATACAATAATTGTAAAAAATGTTTGCCGTATAAATTTGCCATATTGTACTAAGCATTTTAAAATTAAGATTACTTATATAGTATGCGAAGATTAAAGAATTTGTTTCGATAGACAGCGTATGTGTGCTTGACAAACATGAGACAATCCTACGTCGTGAGGTGGACGAAACTAGATCAAAGGGAATGAAATAACAAAAAAGACACACTTGGAATCAAGGTGGCCACCAGCATTGATGGCAGAGACATGCCTTATTTGAAAGACATCCGCCCTCCATGGACAATACAACTAGCACCCAAAGTCAATTGTTATGCGTCAGTCACACCTTAGTGATCAGGTGACAAATGCTTATTTAAACGACAGCGGTCATCGCGAAGCGAAGTTTGTCGTAGCGTACATGCATACAAAGCATTATTAGTGGTGATTACTCAGCTAAGGCCTCTTTCGTTACCTCGCAGATAGAGTATAGGGCATTAGTTTCTAATGAATTTCTGTTTATAAAAGCCATAAGTAGAGCAGCAGGCAAAGAGATTTGGAAATGTCAAGTAAGAACATGTAGGCTACAGCGAAAGTTCACACAATACATGATCACATAGTATTGGAAATGTGTGATCATAACGATGTACCTGCCAGCAAAGTAACCTAAACTTTATTTTTGTCTTGATGATGCAGTAAAAACAACAGTTTTAAGTTACGAACCTGAAGACCCATTCACATTTGTTTGTTAAGTTTAACAAGTTTATTTTATACCAATCAATTATTATGCGTAAAAAGAGTAAACAAAACCATATTGACAGTCAATAAAAAGAAGTCAAATCAACTACAATCATCGTACATACTATTAAAATTTAGCTGTGAGATATTTTGTCTGAGACATTTTGTCTGAGATCATTTGTCTATGATATCATATGTCCTGATATATTTTGTCCTGGTATCTTTTGTCCGTGAGATCATTTGTCCTTGAGATCATTTGTCCTGAGATCATTTGTCCTGAGATCATTTGTCCGTGAGATATTTTGTCTGAGATATTTTGTCTGAGATCATTTGTCCTGAGATCATTTGTCATGGAACCATATATATATATATATATATATATATATATATATATATATATATATATATATATATATATATATATATATATATATATATATATATATATATATAAGATGTTAGACAATTGTCTTTTAATAATTGAGGTCATTGGGCCACCTCAGTTGATTTTCTAATAATCGTTTTGCCATTCTTCTCGGTTTTCAGCAGCTCTAAGTATTTCTTTAACGTCAGCACAGTTTACTACTTTTACTACCTGAAATTGTCGTTAAAAATAAAACTTTGCAAATTTTGTTAGCTTCGTTAACTATTTACTGCTTGAGAAATGTATTAATCGTCAGCTTAATTCTCTCTGTAGAGTCGGCAGCAGATGGGACACGCCTACAATACAACAAGGTTTAGTCAACGGAGACCCAGACATGGACGCTATTTTTAGATTGTCTAGAAAACCCGAGTCAACAATCCTTAACGTGACCTTTGACCCTCTAGCCCCGCCAGTGATTTTACCCGAGGGTGTGTTCAGCCCCTTCAACTCCCAAAACACCCTGTTCCACCACGCCGCCTTCTGGGCTCTGTTTATCCCGACCACAACCACATTCCGTGTCTGCGACATCTGGCGCGGCTACTGGGCCCAGAGGCTCATGTGGGAGGTTGGAGGCAGGCTGGCATTTTTCCCGGCCAACGCCTTCCAGGAACGAAACTCACATTCGTACCTCGAGGACGCTGGGCAGGAGAAGGACATGTACTTCCACACAGAAGAACTGCTGCTGTTTCTGAGGAACTGGTCCTGTGAGGAGAGTTTCTCTTTTTTTCAGTGTGTGCTCAAGTTGACCTCAGACATGTCTGAACGTAACTTTTGGAAACACGATGACGTCAAGATGGTTAAACTTTGGTTGCAGGACCTACAGTCTATTGGCTACCCCGAACCTACGCGTGTACAATTTAGTCTGACTCTGTCAAATGACGACCGTGGTTCGCCTTACAAAACAGAAGAGCGTAGTTTTTTCACTCAGCATGCGGGAGAAAATGAATCCGCCTTAAATAACGTTCTATATTCACCATTAGAACAGCCTGCGCCAACATTTAATCTAGATTCAACTAATAAAAACAGGTTCATATTGAAAGTGGATAAAATCTTGTCAATGTGCGAAGATTTGAAGAATATTTCTCTGAATAAAGCGTTTTTAGGCGAAACAAAAAACGCATCATTTTTCTCTGATATCCTGCTGATCATAGTTTTCAACTTTCCCCACTACAGCAATGTCAAACATCTCGACGCTATCCACAGTCTTTTATTTCCATACATCGTGTACTGTGGGGATAACCAAACCAAGTTCCAACAGGAGTCGGGAGATTTGGGCAGAACTTTAACTTTTATCGAGGTCGCAGTTAACAGTGGCTACGATGGCTACATGTGTGCTGTCAAGGCTATGGAGATGGGGTACAAGGTCAAAGGTTATTTAATAGCTGGTGACGATGTTCTCTTTAAACCATGGTCCCTGTTGGAGTTAAACAAATCCCATGCCGGTGTAACGTTTAACCAAGTAGGTTTATTGAATATATCAGAACCACAAAGCTCTTGGTATTGGTGGAATATGACCACAGGCAGAGATTCTTATTTAAAATCTATAGAAGATTTGAAACAATCAAACGTTCCTTCGAATGTGAAGAGTTTCGTCGAGTTTCAAAGAACCACACTCACTCACACAAAGTCTAGTGCGTTCGCGGCATGGGGAATGAGCGATTTTTATTACATCCCAACTGCCCTGAGATCATCTGCTGTTTGGTACTTCAGTAAACTCTACCAGCATCACCTATTTCTTGAAATGGCGGTACCATTCGTGATGTGTGGGTTGGAAAGTAAAGATAAAATGTTCGAACTTGCAGGGCTCAGCGTGTGGGGCGAAGAAAGAAACAAGATTGACAGCTTTTACCAAAAGATTAAGTTATATATGCACCCAGCGAAATTATCACAGACTAATATTGTTTCGGTATATTGCAAGGATTATTTTCCTGAATTTTTTCAAAAAATGTTTTCAAGCAAATAAGACGTCATTCTCGATGGTAAAAATGGTTACTGAAAAAGCATTATATGAAAAAGGAATTGTTTTTAAAATAACTAAGCTGAGAATTATCTGAAATTATGTACTAAATAAATTCAATAATTCATCTTGATTATACTGTTATTTTGCTTTAATTACAAACTTCTTTTAGTTCTATTGATAAGCTCATTACTCTAAACTCACTCCAACATAAAAGAGGTCGTCAATAAATGACGTCACACTCGTAGGGGGGAGGGGGTCCGTATTTTTGTGACGGTGTTTGATGAGGGGGAAGGGGGGGGGGGGGGGTCAGATGGTGCGATGTCCCACTTTTGCATTATAAAAAAGCAATGTTAGAAAATTGAATTTTAGCTGTTTTAGAAAACTGGTTTAATAAATTGCAATAGGAATTGATTAAAATACTCTATTTCGACAGATTTCAGACACGATTTTGGAAACATATCAATGTTTTAGGAAAAATTCATCTGCAATTTTGAGGAGGGTTGTAGGCTGAAGTGTGACGTCATTTTAGGGGGGGGGGGGCTAGCTTTTTGTGACGAGGGGAGGAGGAGGTAAAAATCGTCAAAAAAGGTCTGACGTCATGACCCCAAAGAAGAAATAAAGCTGGAGTGATCTCCCCTAAACATTCTCGAATATTCTCATTTAACACTACGGGGGATGGCAACTCGGAATATAGACATGATTTTTAATCCATTTTTAATTGCTTAAACTTTTAAAAATAAAATAGAATCTCATAGAAAAAAAAAGAATTGCGCACCATGTGAACGGTAAACAAGATCTGTATAATACTGCGGAATAATAGTACTTTATAAATTTATATTCGTTTTATTTTTTTGCGAAAGCGGAAATCGCGTAAATTACTACTTCCGGTCAACGGAAATTACTCAAAATTTGACGGAAGGCAGAGAATTTTATCTCCTTAATTACGTGTGAAATTTCATATATCTAGCAGAAACAGTACTCAGGGTATAAGCTTTTGAAAATTGAAAGTAGAATAAGTTTTACTTCCGGCTGAAAAGTTGATACAGATATAACACTTACATAAGAAAGTTCATCCACCTAGCTGTAACGGTACTCAAGTTATCATGTTCACACACATACACACACACACACAGACACACATTTGACTTAATTAGTTGCCTAATTAATTTTTATGAATAAATTAAAATTGTGTCCAAATGAGTAGGTTGTCTTACGCAACTATTCCGCACTATTATAATGGATTTTTAGTCATGCAACTCTATTGAAAATTTAAAAAATTGAAGTATTGAATTTTTTAAAATAAGAAACGTTTAATAACAAGCTTTTATGTAATAAAGCACAAAAAGTAGAAAAGAAATCATACACTACTATTTAGATAAATGTACTTTCAATCGAAACCAGGTTAAGAACCACGACTTTTTTAAAATTAGAAACACAGCCTTTATTTTGAAGACTTGGTTATATTTCAACTAGCTGCATACCCGTGCTCCCTCACGGTGAACTTTTTTAAATGTACCAACTTGGGAACAAAACTTAACACAACACAAACACAACACAAACACAACTTAAACACAACACAAACACAACACAAACACAAAAGAAAAAAACACAAAGCGAAACCAAAGCGCCTAACACGATAAACATTCTGACAGTCGCCATTGTATAAGCTTGCATTCGATACTAATTGATTCTCTTGGCTGGTTCTGACAACTTACTTTGTTCAATAAAAGAAACGTTAACTGTCAGACCGCACTGGTGACGTCGGGATTTAAAAACGGTGTGTGAATGAAGCGGCATTTGGGGGGGGGGGGGGGAGGAGGAAGTAGAAAGTGTGACGTCATACCTTTGCATATTTTTTTTTTCATTTTAAATTAATTTATCTTGGCCTACTGGGATTGTATATATTTTAGAGGGAAATTTCTAATTAAAAACAAATAGTGCAATAAAGAAAGTTGCAAGTTACATATTGTAACGACATGGAGCGGCGTCCAGCACTTGGTTGTTGTAGGATGGTGTGGTCATGCATATAATTGATTTTATAGTGTCAAACATAAGTTTATAATGGTGTCAATCGTATGATTGCTGCAGGAAGGTGTGGTCATTCACATGATTGTCTTACTGGTATTAAACAGTTGATAGTCTTATTTTTGTCGATCACATCAGTGTTGCGCAAGTGCGTTGTTTTGCATCTATTGCTCAGTCTAATAGACCTGCCAAACGCCATTTTTTGTAGTCAACCTTGCACAGACCATTAACCATTTTGTACTTTGTAGCTAAGCGGTAGTTTAAAGAAATCCTGCCCCCCCCCCCCACCATCCGCCTCTTCTAGTTGTATTTTGCAAACATGTATCGCATAAATAAGTGGTAAATAGTTCGGTTTTATACAAATGAATAGAAGAATTGATTGGGCTTTTTCCTAATGGGTTTTAATGATTGGACATATTTTGTCACAAATCATATTATTCGTAGCTATTTGCCGGAAGTACAACTGACAGGAGCCATTATGTCACAGACTATATGGGGGGGGGGGGGCGCTATAGCTGATAACTGTGTTAATGAACTTTAATCAAAAGCCCTTCAGATCAAGTTGATGTGATGCGATTTTGTTGAAAGGGGCTGTTTTAACACATACTGCAAAGACGCAGCTTAAAATTGTACTTAAATTTTGCCTTTTTTTTAAAAGTTCTTTTCCAAAAGTAAAAAATGTAATATGTTAACCGTTTAAAATCAATGTATTTAAAAAGAAATTGTAACTAAAGATTTAGCAAATTTCAAATCTAGATAGAAGAATTAATTTGGAAAAATACAAACACACATTAACAAGCACACAAACACACACAAACACATACACACACACACACACACACACACACACATATATATATATATATATATATATATATATATATATATATATATATATATATATATATATATATATATATATATATGAGAGTATAAATGTTTTGGATAAAGGAAAAGCTGAGTTTTTTTTCTAGTTCTGTCACTGCTCTGTACACGGCCTGGTCATCAAAAAGTGATATAATGTTCCTTTCGTCCACTTACTGAGGGGTCATATTGTTTGACAACTACTTAATGCCAAACATCTTCTCAAGTAATTCAGGAAAATAATCCTTGCAATATCCTGAAACAATCTTAGTCTGAGATAACTTCGCTGGGTGTATATATAATTTAATCTTTTGGTAAAAGCTGTCAATCTTGTTTCTTTCTTCGCCCCACACGCTGAGCCCTGCAATTTCGAACATTTTATCTTTACTTTCCAACCCACACATCACGAATGGTACCGCCATTTCAAGAAATAGATGATGCTGGTAGAGTTTACTGAAGTACCAAACAGCAGAGGATCTCAGGGCAGTTGGGATGTAATAAAAATCGCTCATTCCAAATGGCGCGAAAGCACTAGACTTTGTGTGAGTGAGTGTGGTTCTTTGAAACTCGCTGTAATTCTTCACGTCCGAAGGAAAAATTGAGTTTTTCAAATCTTCTACCGATTTTAAATAAGAATCTCTCCCTATGTTCATATTCCACCAAGACCAAGCGTTTTTTGGTTCTGATATATTCAATAAGCCTACTTGGTTAAACGTTACACCTCCATGGGATTTGTTTAACTCCAACAGGGACCAGGGTTTAAAGAGAACGTCGTCACCAGCTATTAAATAACCTTTGACCTTGTACCCCATCTGCATAGCCTTGACAGCACACATGTAGCCGTCATAGCCTCTGTTAACTGCGACCTCGATAAAAGTTAAAGTTCTGCCCAGATCTCCCGACTCCTGTTGGAAGTTGGTTTGGTTATCCCCGCAGTACACGATGTATGGAAATAAAAGACTGTGGATAGTGTCTAGATGTTTGACATTGCTGTAGTGGGGAAAGTTGAAAACTATGATAAGCAGGATATCAGAGAAAAATGTCGCGTTTTTTGTTTCACCTAAATACGATTTGGTCAGAGAAATATTCTTTAAATCTCCGCACATTGACAGTACTTTATCAACTTTCAATATGAACCTGTTTTTATTAGTTGAATCTAGATTAAATGTTGGCGCAGGCTGTTCTAATGGTGAATATAGAACGTTATTTAAGGCGGATTCATTTTCTCCCGCATGCTGAGTGAAAAAACTACGCTCTTCTGTTTTGTAAGGCGAACCACGGTCGTCATTTGACAGAGTCAGACTAAATTGTACACGCGTAGGTTCGGGGTAGCCAATAGACTGTAGGTCCTGCAACCAAAGTTTAACCATCTTGACGTCATCGTGTTTCCAAAAGTTACGTTCAGACATGTCTGAGGTCAACTTGAGCACACACTGAAAAAAAGAGAAACTCTCCTCACAGGACCAGTTCCTCAGAAACAGCAGCAGTTCTTCTGTGTGGAAGTACATGTCCTTCTCCTGCCCAGCGTCCGCGAGGTACGAATGTGAGTTTCGTTCCTGGAAGGCGTTGGCCGGGAAAAATGCCAGCCTGCCTCCAACCTCCCACATGAGCCTCTGGGCCCAGTAGCCGCGCCAGATGTCGCAGACACGGAATGTGGTTGTGGTCGGGATAAACAGAGCCCAGAAGGCGGCGTGGTGGAACAGGGTGTTTTGTGAGTTGAAGGGGCTAAACACACCCTCGGGTAAAATCACTGGTGGGGCTAGAGGGTCAAAGGTCACGTTAAGGATGGTTGACTCGGGTTTTCTAGACAATCTAAAAATAGCGTCCATGTCTGGGTCTCCGTTGACTAAACCTTGTTGTATTGTGGGCGTGTCCCATCTGCTGCCGAATCTACAGAGGGAATTAAGCTGACGATTAATACATTTCTCAAGAAGTTATCAGTTAACAAATCTTACAAAATTTCCAAAGTTTTATTTTTAACGACAATTTCAGGTAGTAAAAGAAATGGACTTGGCTGCCACTTGCAGAAATACTTAGAGCTGCTAAAAACTGAGAAGAATGGCAAAACGATTATTAGAAAATCAACTGAGGTGCCCCAATGACCTCAATTATTAAAATACAATTGACTAACATCTTATATATATATATATATATATATATATATATATATATATATATATATATATATATTTGAAACCTCAGTATATTTGACCATTAAGTTGTTATTATACATCAAATATAACTACACTATTTATTTTGTATTCTTTACTGTGTGATTGTGCAAAAAAAATATTTGTTATCTCACTTGTACTGACGATTCTGTTTTTTGCCTATGTGAGAGAGTGGGTAACCTCTAGGCCATAGAGTCGACTGGCCAAAATGGGTGTACGGGTTAAAGACATTGTTCCCAGCAAACATGAGTCCAGACATGCTAGGAGTTAGAACAAATCCTTCTAGGTTGTCTTCTGGCCTGAAATGACACACGCCGTTTGTTATATCATTAAATGATGTCAAGCTTACAATACCATTTCGACTTTATTTACTTTACTTAAAATATAATTATTTTTAGAAATGCAAAACATAGACAGCGTTTAACAGTAAACATTTTTTTCAATTAAAAAAAAACAATCATAATAATGGACTTTTAAATACATTTTAAAATAAATAGATTAAAATAAGTTAACATTGGTAAAAATATATCGGCCGCTCATAAAATCTCTTCCTCATTTTAGGTGCTAATTATTTTCAAATAGAGCAAGATTGTTTTATTAAATTTTATTTTCTTTGCTTTTAAAAGTTTACAATTATAAAAAAATTTAGATTATTTTTTTATTTAACGTCACCTGTTATCATCATCAGTTTCATAGATAAACTTGGCGCCGTTTAGTATCGCATACAAGTAACCAATGTTCTTTCTGGCGTAGCTTCCAAAAGTCAGGTGGTCAGTTAGAGAAAATCCCAGGTGTTTCTGTGTGTCCAGACTTAGATAGTCACAACCTGGTAAACTAGAGTAAAGAGAGAAAAAGTCTGGGAAACTAGAGCAAAGAGAGACAACTTTTGTAAACTAGGGCGAATAGAGACAAGTCTGGTAAACTAGAGTAAAGAGAGACAACTCTGGTAAAATAGAGTAAAGAGAGACAACTCTGGTAAACAAGAATAAAGAAAGACAAGCACGATAAAAACTCTTTTAAAAACTAGAACGAGAATACAACTGTGCAAAAAAAATTGTACTAAGAAAAAACTGTTGATCGTGATATCTAGAAAACAGAAAGACAAATAAGAAAACTAATTACAACTATATTTTCTGTAAATTTACATGTCATTTTCCAAAACAATCGAGTTCTAATACATTTTTTTTTAATTGTTTCAATATTTAATTATGTTACATGTTAACACTGTTTTTATGCTTTCAGTCTACTGCATCATAGGTGGAACTAAACAGTTAAGACAATTTCTCACCTCCAGTTTGACGGGGTCTTTCTATCACCGACAACGACCAAACGCCAGCCAGGAATTTGAGCCAGTATCCTGAGCTGTTTTGATGGTTGGAAAACTGACGTCACGATAATCCATTTGTCGAACCTTTCTTTTCTATCAAGTACAATACGTCCATTTCTGAAACATCGAAAGAATTTCAACACAAAAATATGAGATTTTTGACGCACTTCTCAAATTTAATTATAAAAATATTTAAACGTTGGCATGTTTCAAATATTTATCAACTATCAATTTAAAATTATTCTTCAATTCATTTTTCAGTTGGTGTTTTTATTCTTTGCTGTACAGCATCAGTGTATCACCTCTCATGGAGTGTGCGTTTGAGTGTGTGTGTTTGTGTATAGAACACCCCCACCTGTTCGCGAAGTGGCCGACCAATGAACAAGATTCTCTGTCAATTTTAATCTGTTTTGATGGTTGGAAAACTGACGTCACGACAATCCATTTGTCGAACTTTTCCTTTCTATGAAATAAGTTTGTTTATTTTATACTAGCTATAAAAAATTTCTTTAGACTATCCGGAATCGGTCTGAAAAAAATGCTTTTTCTTTTTCGTACAAGGAATATAATGGGAGTATTGTAATTGTTCAAGATTTCGAATTAGAGACTGACAAATCTTAAATTTTTAAAACCATAGGAGAAAAAAAATTTAACCATAGTGTATGTGTGTGCGTTCGTATTGCGTGTGAGCGTATGCATATGAATGTGCACGTGTGTGTGTGTGTGTATTTTACTTCTACTATGCAGAAGTAGTACGTCATTGTTTTATCGGTTTCTAAATAACCGACAATTTAAGTACAGTTTCAGTAAAATAGACGAATATATTAGTATTAGCAACCTGACAACTTTTAAGCGATGTCCGATAACCGGAAATGAAACTTTACTATTTTTTCGATTTCTCAACAACCTCCAGAAATTCCATAACAATCATTTATTCAAATATAACAATCCGCCACTCGATTCGATTAAGGAAATTATCATTAGATGTCACCCCGCTCGTATGGTGTCATTCCGTCAGTTCTCTAAGCTATATATTTGCATGTGCTTGTTGCACGCAAATTATATTGTGCTCATCACCGCGCGTTGCCGCGGTCTTAAAGGAAAGTCTGACGGCAAGTCACATGATAGTCCGGGGCAAAGGTTATCCATATTCTATCGCACTCTTTAAAACGAACATATGCGCCTTAGCACTCACGGAAAAGCTCGGGGAGTCAAATAGTACAATGCGCCGGAGGACGAGTCTGATTGTTGACCATCGTGTCTTTAGTGTATAGCCTTTTTTAAAACGAACGTGGGCGCCATAATTCTCAAAGGGACGCCCGGGGAGCTTCGGGTCACGCCTTTTGAATTTTTAACGCTTATTATATGCCAGATTAACGGATACTAAGTGTTCCCAAACTTTTTCGAGTGGCGACCCCCTTTTATAAAAAGTAAGTGACCCGCGACCCCAATAAAATTGAAAAGCCGAATTTAGTATGGAAATTAATAAGCACTAAAATAAGATTTTCTATGAGACTTTCAATATGAACTACTCTTGATAACTGTTTCAATACGATGAGTAAAATTGCATGCTATTTACTAAACATTCGCGGTTAAGTTATTGTTAACGCCAACCTATGTCATTATCAACATTCAATTTATTTCTTAATTTTTTTTTAATCGGAGAGTAGCTAAGTGTTGAAAGGCTATTCTCGAAAGTCAATCAATTTTACGTTTGGGTATGAATGGTGAATACTACACCAAAATTGTGTGAACAGTTTTTCATCTTAGGCGGAATCATTCTGCAAATCAAAAAATTCATCTTGTAATTCATCGGGAATGCTGGCAACATCAATGGAAGTAGAGAATGGGTAATGCGTCAATGCAGATTCTTCTTCTTTCAGCTCAGAGAAATAGCGCCGCAGTTCGTTTTCAAGAGATTCAAGATGCCCAGAAATCGCTTCTTTCAAAATTTTAATTATCTCACAATCAGATTCATCTACCACACTGCAGAGTTTCTCAAATGTACAACATTTCCAAGATTTATTTTCTTCGCCAATTTTGCAGCTTTGATAAAAATGCCCCGAGATTATCATGGAAAGTAATAATCCTCGTTCATTTTCCCTGAAGCTTCAGGTTAAGCTTACGTTGATGTTCGAATATATCTGCTAGGTATGATACTCTCTCCAACCACTCTATGTCGTTTTAAGTATATCAAAAGGTCTTGTTTCCTTTGCACTTGCAAGAACAATTTGATTTCAGATTGCAATTCGAATCACGATTCACAACAATTCATTTGACAGCCAGCGTACTGTAGTGTACAAAAGCAGAACCTCGTGATCTATATTAATGTCTTTGCTCCAGATTAAATATAATGTACGCCTGTTACTAGCAATGGAGTCTTGATGACGAGGGCGTACTGGTAAATCACGCAGTGGTTAGGGAGCTAAATCGTTTCTGTTTTTTGAATGTCCGATTTTGACCTAAACCTAGATAACGCACCATCCGTACAAACCCCCACAGCTGTTTAACCAACTTTAATCAAGTCTCTGACGTACGTTTGCAACTAGCTTCATGCCGACGAAAGAACACGATATCGTTTTTGGTGTGTTCCGAATGACTCGTCTCAAATGACGTTTTAGTTTTGAAGATTTTATAAACGCGTGACTGAGAACAACTTTGCACAGTAGGCATACGCTTTGCTTCTTCTCTATTTGATATTCTTCTAAATATTTATTTTTTGTTTCTCATTACTTAGGTTTAGTATACCAGTTGGCGACCCCCCAGAAAAGCCCTTCGCGACCCCCAAGGCGGTAGCGACCCCAGGTTGGGAACCAGTGGCTTAGTTAGACACTCTGAAACTATGGGCGCCAAAGCGTGTATTGACAAAAATCACACTCTCACGGGCGCAGCCCATGAGAAATTTTATTTTAAATATTTGTAATAGTTTGATCGTCCACTTTTATAAAATCCGATCGTGAAACTTAGGAGTCGGGTGTATGTCTTTACCTCCACCGAACCCTGAGACTGACTCATCGAACCCTTGGGGTTCACTCGGACCCAGGTTAAGAACCACGAATTTATTTAATTAGAAACACAGCCTTTATTTTGAAGCCTTGGTGGTATTTCAACGAAAAAGAAATTATTTTTTGTTATATTTTTTAAAATTATTATTATTATTATTATTATTATTATTATTATTATTATTATTATTATTATTATTATTATTAATATTATTATTATTATTATTATTATTATTATTATTATTATTATTATTATTATTATTATTATTATTATTATTATTATTATTATTATTATTATTATTATTATTATTATTATTATTATTATTATTATTATTATTATTATTATTATTATTATTATTATTATTATTACTACTTTTTTTTTAAATTTGTTGGTGTATATGTTACGGTCAAAGCCCGAAGTCTGCCAATGCGCGGATTGGCCGGCCAATCCGCGCATTGGCCAATATCGCCTCCCATAGGTCGGTCGAAGTCCGAAACTTTGCTTGATTTCGGCCTTTGGCCGGCCAATCCGCAGACTGGCCTCGGTGGACCGGCCAAAGTCTGAAATAGCTCTTGATTTCGGCCTTTGGCCGGCCAGTCCGCGGACTGGCCATGGTGGACCGGCCAAAGTCTTAATTAGAAGATCCTCTGGCTAGGGACGACCGGCCAAATTCCGAATTAGAAAATCATGAGCAGATTTTGGGTTTTTTAATGCCGTAAGGATCATGAAATTAAGTCTTTATTAATTATTTATATTGATTATTTATATTGATTATATTGATTGTACTATAGTCTCAATCAATCAATATTATCATTTGTTACAACAAGTTGAATTTTTATGGCATTTAGAATTACATAGCAGCTTGTTATTTTTACACTTGCAGCGATTTGTTGAGCACTTGGTTGTGCAATTGCAGCGAGTGTAGCCTTGGCCGCCGGTCAATGATTGTGAAGATGCGATGGTTCATAGTGATTTTTCCTCAGTGCCAACTGACGACAATAAGAGCAGTTTTTCGTGAAGAATTGAAAACTCACTTCTAGCATACAGTTGTTTTAGAACACCATGTAGAAACCGCCCTCGACGCTCATGCCAACTGTAATCACGCTTTGGGGATGAACTTGGTTAAATGATTCTGGTAACTGAGTATAAACTTGTATTTGCCGTCTTGGTTACATTGCATATCAATAAGATCTACTTGGCATCTTGAGTTAAATTCTTTAAATATCAAAGGTTTGGAACTTACAAGGAACGCGGCAAAGTCTTTTGAACGTTCCGTCTTGTTGCACGTGGTCGGTAACGCCGACTGTCTTTGATTTTGTTCTTTGATGATTATCTCACCTCGTCATCATAGAGGAGGCTGTCACATGCAGTTGTAGCCCATATATGGAAACTAACATGGATTTTGACAGCCATCTGCTATGTCTGTCTCATGGTCTGACGGCCGTTTTGATCCACGTCGCCTTGCATATAGAATGCTATACAAACAAGAGCTAAACAATACGTTACTCACAATGAAACCGCACCCAGAATAATAAAAACGCGATCACAACTTAGTCTAGATAGAACATTGGCCAGGATATCCCGCAAATGCGCGCATTGGCCGGCCAATGTACGAAATACTATCTTAGTTCTAAGTTCTTCGGGCTTTGGCCAAGAGAGCCGGCCAATCCGCGCATTGGCCGGCCAATCCGGGGTTTGGCCGCACTTCGGGCTTTGACCGTAACATATACATGTACACAAAAAAGACTTACATTTCGTATCTGATTAAATAATACATCATTGAATTAAAATACCGTTGTGTAAAAATCTCACATACATGCTTATTCACAAAATAAAAAAATTATTTTTTTTTAAAACTATTTTTTAAATGGTCCTAAGATTTTTGACAAAAAAAAATTCTGGTGGTCTTACGTTGGATGAATTGGAA